TGACGTGGAGGGAGACGGAAAACAAAATAGCACTGATTCACATCCTATCAGTGTCTTTTTGGCTTCCTGATTATGCTAGAATATTCTTTCTGCTCTTGTAAATCTTGTAAATCCCCCCTTCCTCCCCTTCTTTGTGACCACGTTAGGTCTTTTCTTCTCTTTCACCTGCTTCACTTCTGTCCTTCTGTCTGCAAATTGCTTTAAGTCATTTGAATTTTGATTTTTTTTAATTAAATAATTTTTTTTGTTTAAAATACTGATTCACTATGTTTAAGGAACATGAAAAACTCAATCATATGTATATCTTAATACATGCAAACAAAAGGTATTGATAAAAACGTGTATCATAATTTATAATTAAAATTTTTCTTGAATAACTAGGAAAAGAATTTTTTTTCACGACCTTTTTTTATCCCAGTTTCTTCTGTCACTACTCAGGAGATGAAATTTGCAATTGTCTAGAACAGGAAGAGTGTCAGAGTTATCTAAGGCAAGAGTAAGAGAGTGAAGGAATATTACAACTAAGGATTAATCTGGAAGAAAATAGTTTCAGACTAGTTGACCCCCATTTTCTCTCGAAAACAGAAGATACCCTTATATGCTGAGAGGGAAGCGCTTGAGCGATTGGCAAAGTTCCCCTCTCTTTTCCTTTTTCCGTGTTTGTTTTAGAGTGCAGTACCCAGGGCTTGTTCCTGGCTCTGAGCCCAGGGATCACTCCTGCCATTGCCCAGGGAATGGGACGTGGTGCCAGAAATCAAACCTGGCTGACAACATGCGAGGCGAGTGCCCTGCCTGCTGCACTATCTCTGCAGCCCTGCTTGGCAGACTTTCTAAGTGGAACAGGTAAGATTGCATACCTGGTAAATAAAGGATTGGTAAATACCTGCCAGAGATGGCACCATTGGCAGGCGATGTTCTTTTTGTCTCAGTGCAGCTGGCACGGCTTATGGGAGAACACCAGGTTCATCATCCTGATGAGTTAGGCGTGGGGAGGACGGTAATAGAAGGGCGAAGAGTTTGGCTATGGATTCTTGTCAATTGTTGAATTGACTGTCCATCAATCAATACGAAGAAGGGATTAGACTGTTCACAGTTGATAAGTTTGGGAGCGGGGGGTTGTTGCTTCAGATGTTTTACTGTTGAGACACTCAGAAGCGTTTTCTTTCACCCAACAGATGTCTCGAAGTGCCTTCTGTTAATTGATGCTTATTAGAGGAGCAGTCTAGCATTATTGAGTTGCTATTTTAAGCAATTTGCCAAGCTCATGAACACAAAGATAGAAGACGCAACCCTTGCTTTCAAGGAATTTATAAGAGAAACTCGTCCATGTGATCGTGTGAATAATTCACTTTGTCTATAAAGGGGGGCCTGGACCGATAGCACAGCGGGGAGAGCATTTGCCTTGCAGGTGGCCCACGCGGCCGGCCCGAGTTCGATTCCTCTGCCCCTCTCGGAGGGTCCGGCAAGCTACCGAGAGTATCTCGCCCGCACGGCAAAGCCTGGCAAGCTACCCATGATGTATTCGATATGCCAAACACAGTAACAACAAGTCTCACGATGGAGACGTTACTGGGCCCGCTCGAGCAAATCGATGAACAGCGGGAGGACAGTGCTACAGTCTATAAAGGGGGCCTGCGAGCAGAGAGTTGAGAATTGAACTCTTGGAAAGACCTTACGTAGAGGTCAGGTTAGTTGGTCTATCACTTTGGGATCGTTCAACTCGTTGGACAAATTACTTACACAGTGACCTATAGGCAATAGGAACTTAGTGAATTTTTCGGCTTTTTAAGATACGCAAAAATTGATTTTCAAAAACTACCTTCCTTATAAATTTAAAAGTCTCAGAATACTTCCCCCACCTGCACTGCCTCCTTCACCCACTGCCATCCAAAAAGTCCATAAATCTGCACCAGGAAGCAACTCATCTTTGAAGAGAGCGTTATTTATAAAGCAAAAGGTGATATCCATAGACATTAGTTCAACTTCTAAGAGACAGCGCAGTCCTTCGATGATCAAAGCATAAAGGTTAGGAAGATTGCTCGGGTTTGAGACAGTACAGGAGGGAAGAGGGATTGCCTTACAAGCGTGCGGCCTTGCTTCGGTCGCTGGCACCGTGTATGTTCCCCTGGGCACTGCCAGAAGTAGAGCCTGAGCTCCAGTCGGTGTATACCCCGACCAAGCAACAAGCAACAACAGCAAGAGATTGATGTACCCACTGCAATGTAGAGTTTCGTTACTGAAAACCAAGTGACAAAAGAATGAAATAGTTCAACCAGGGAAGAACGATTTCCAAATGACATTCCTGAATGGGCCCACAAGTTTTCTACAGGAGATCATGTTGAATTTTCTCATGCCCCTGGCCCTCTACTATGGTTATTCTCTGTTCTCTGTGGATGGGTTTTGTTGTTTTTGTTGTTGCACAAACTTGAATAAATATTTCTTCAAATAGAGGTGATAAGTCACATGGTAGCTGCTGTTTAAAACAATACTGACTGTTTCATAAATATATATTTATTTAAATTTTCATTTCATTTCATTTCATCATCCTGTTATTCGTCGATTGCCTCGAGCAGGCCCCAGTAACGTCTCTTTCATCCTAGCCCTGAGATTATATTCAAGGCTCTTTAGGAGAATGAGACCCATCATTGTTACTGGTATTTGGCATATTGGGTACGCCACGGGGAGTTTGCCAGACTCTGCCCTGTGGGCAGGCTACATTCGATAGCCTGCAAGTTTGTCCAAAGTAGGAATGAGATAATAAGATGTCATAAAAGATGTCCTGATAAAATCATGTAGGAATATTGGTATTTGTTCAGCCATTGATAAGCAGTTTGAATTGAGCATGAACTCCACATTACTTTTTGATTTTATTGTATCACCATGAGATAGAGTTACAAAACTTTCGTGTGTGAGATTCAGCCATACAGTGATGGAACACCCATCCCTCCACCAGTGCACATTCCCCCCCCCCCCCCAGTGTCCCAAGTATCACCCCCTACACACACACATACACATCGCTGTCCTCACCGTGCCTCTGTGGCAGACATTTTCCCCAATACTCTCTCTAATTTGGGTCATTGATTTTGCTCGAATTTTCCCACCACCATTCAAGCCTACCCGCCGGGGACAGACTCTAGATGATATATTCTCCATAGCTCATTTAGAATATCACAAGAGCTCGCATGGCCACAATTGTAAATATAAACTTCTAAATTGTAAGTGATTGGGTTCCAGAGACATCTCTGTATGGCTCTAATCCATTTTGGGATTCAGTTGAGAGTTTCTGGGCCAGGGCTGTTGATGTGTTAAGATGGCGTCCGGAGGCAAATTGTGGGCTTGACAGCCAGTCTTCTGGGAGGGACAGCCTGGGTCCTCTGCCACCATGCGGCCTGGAGAGTTAGTTCTGAACCCGCATACCTGGGCGTTGCTTGTGAAAGCTCTTGGTCACCAGGATTCCATCTGGAGTAGGCGAGGAGACCGCACCTGCTCCATCTGGGCTGCCCCAGTGATACTGGCTCGGTATGGGGCCCGGAGAGATCTCTGGCGCTGTGGTGTCTTCTGGGACTTGTTGCTGTGTCTCTGGGCCAGGGCTGTTGGTGTGCTAAGATGGCGCCCGGAGGCTAAGTGTGGGCATAACAGCCAGTCTTCTGGGTGGGCGGGGACCGGGAGAGGGACAGCCCGGGTCCTCTGCCACCAGGCGGCCTGGAGATTTAATCCTGAACCCACATGCCTGGGCCTTCCTTGTGAAAGCTCTTGATCATTGGGATTCCATCTGGAGTAGGTGGGGAGACTGCACCTGGACCATGTGGGGTGCCCCGGTGATATTGGCTCCGTGTGGGACCCAGAGGGATCTCCGGTGCTGTGTTGTCATCTGGGACTTGCTGCTGTGCCTCTGACCAGGGCTGTTTGTGCGTCAACATGGCGCCTGTAGGTAAAATGTGGGCATGACCAGGACTTGCCTCTGTGTCTTTGGGCCAGGGCTGCTGGTGTGCTAAGATCCACAATACAAAATTTTCAGCAGCTTCTATCTTGGTGAGGTCCATCCTGAGACGGTGGAGTCAGGCTTGGAGTATGGCGGCAATTTTAGATTGTGGAAGCTAGTGGCTGCCAGGGACTCTGCTTGGGCGGGGACAGGCCAACCCGCCTCCTCCAATTTACTCTGGTCTGTTCAGCCACATATGGGTCCGAGCTTAACCGCAGCTTTTGATCTCTTTTGAGATTTATTTAGGGGTCTCTAAGGCAAGGCCAGTAGTAGAGCTTACAGGGTGGCACTGGGGTTGTTTCGTGGGGGTGACTGCCAGTGCTTTGCGTGTATTGCGAAGTAGGGGAGGTAGCCTATCCCAACTCTGAGTGAGCTTGTATAGATGAGCTGGAAGTGGTTTGTGGATGTAACTCCCACATACCTAACTTTTGGCCGTTTAATTTCTTGGTAAACTTGTTGTTGGGGTCTGGCCAGAGGCACAGAGGCAATTTTGGGGTATCAGGAAGCCTGAAGGCAATATCAGGCTGCTGATGCAATCGCCCCGCAGGTACAGGTTGACCTGTTGGCGGCACCATACCCCCTTCTGGGTATATCTTAATCTGGGTTGCATGTAAGCCAAAAAGAGTGTATGTCCGTGTACCTCATGGTGTTTCACTAATAAAAATTAAAAATAAAAAAATAATAAAAGAGTGTATGTCCGACTTTAACTGGAACCTGCATTCAGTACAATATATGGATACATCCTTATCATCGTGCATCAATATAAAAGTCAGGGGGAATCCGGAGGCTGGAGTGATAGCACAGCGGGTAGGGCATTTGCCTTGCATGCAGCCGACCCAGGTTCGATTCCCAGCACCCATATGGTCCCCTGAGCACCGCCAGGGATAATTCCTGAGTGCAGAGCCAGGAGTAGCCCCTGTGCATTGCCAGGTGTGACCCCAAAAGGAAAAAAAAAGTCAGGGGGAATCCTAGTACACTGGAAATCTATAGACATCTCTTAATGTTTCTTTGTCCCCAGGTGGAAGAAGCTGGACAGGTGTTCCTGTTGATGAAGAAGGATTATAGAATCTCCCGAAATGTTCGCCTAGCTTGGTTCCTCAATCACCTGCATCAAACGGTGCAGGCCACACCTCAGGAGACGCTGGTGAGGGCCAGAGACTCACAGCACAAGAGGCGGTTGGCCCATCAGGACCTGTTTTTAGGAGGGTGCTGGAAACAGATGGGAAGGGAGACTAACTCCGAGGGCTCTGACTCCTGGAGGGACAAGTCACTTTTCTCACTAACGATGATTCCATCGGGGAAATTTTATTGAATAATTTTTCCAGGTGGAGCGATAGCACAGCGGTAGGCCGTTTGCCTTACAAGCGGCCAACATGGCCAACCCGAGTTCGATTCCTCCACCCCTCTCGGAGAGCCTGGCAAACTACCGAGAGTATCTCGCCCGCACGGCAGAGCCTGGCAAGCTACCCATGACGTATTCGATATGCCAAACACAGTAACAAGTCTCATGATGGAGACGTTACTGGGCCCGCTCGAGCCAATCGATGAACAACGGGAGGACCGTGACCATGAAATTTTTCCAGCTAGTGGGAGGAAGAGTGCATGGGTGGGTTGTAGTGTTGGATCCAGTGGTATGTCATGGTGGAGACTGAAGAAAGTTCTTGGAAAGAAGGGGATGGCAGTTCCCTGAGCTTTTCTTTTTCTCCCTACCCTAATTGTCAGCTCCAGTCTGAGCAGGAGTTGGAGGTCCTCAGTGTCCTGCCTCCTGGGTGGCAGCCAGATGAACCAGTGGTCCCAAGGCCTTTCCTCCTCGTGCCTTCCACCCGCGTCACTTTCCTGGCTTGGCAGTATCGATTTGTTATTGAGCTGGACCTTAGCCCATCGACAGGCATTGTGGTAAGGGTTTGGCAAGGCCGTGGGAAGGAAGGATCGGGTGGAGGGCGAAAAGGAGAGGAAAAGGGTGGGAGGAGGTGAGAAAGGACCCCAGCCCGTCGTGGTGGAAAGGGGACAGGCTTATAAAGGTCTGGTGGGTATTTAAAGGCAAACCCTCTTCTTCCTGTGTCGCTGGATTTGGGGACAGTCAACCTGAAGATGAAAGTCCCGTTACTGGCGGAAGTGGCTTGTTTCTGCCCCTGTCAGGGGTGCCTTTGCTTACCCTAGTGAGACCTTTCTTTGCATTGCCCTCAGGATGATTCCACAGGGGAGATCTTGTTCGATGAAGTTTTCCATGCCCTCTCTCGCTGCCTCGGTGGGCTGCTTCGACCTTTCCGAGTGCCGGGATCTTGCATTGACTTCCAGCCTGAGATCTACGTAACTATCCAGGCCTACTCCTCCATCATTGGCCTGCAGTCCCACCAGGTATTGCAGCCTTTGTGTGAGTGTGTACCTTCAGCTCTCGCTTGTGGTAGTCCGCAGACCAAGGCCTTAGTGTGTCTCTGTTGTCCTGGCCTTAGTCCTCGGCTCTGTTGCCTGCTTGGGCCTATCATCTCTCTGAGCCTCGCACCTCTGGAGAAGTATCCATTCCTCTAGTCTTTAGGGCTGTCCCATGAACTTCCTGTCATTTTTGTATTGATTTGTCCACATGTCTCTCTCCTATCTCACCAGTGCTGGCCACGGGTGTCTGTTCTCTTTGCCTTCCCTCAACCCTCCTTTCATTTGATCAGGTTTGCTAGTATCCAGGCACGAACCCCTAGGAGATGGTTTTTTGGAATAGTTTTATGATTTTTTTTACATATGAAAAATACACAGATGGGGCTGGAGCGATAGCACAGCGGGTAGCGTGTTCGCCTTGCACGCGGCCAACCCGGGTTCAATTCCCAGCATCCCATATGGTCCCCCGAGCACCGCCAGGAGTCATTCCTGAGTGCATGAGCCAGGAATAACCCCTGTGCATTGCCGAGTGTGACCCAAAAAAGCAAAAAATACATATATATACACAGACATAGTTTCTGAGGGCAGAGAAAGAGAGCCCTGTGAAGTGTTGGGGCCATGCTCACCACACAGATGATGTCAGGGCTTATCTGACCCCCATGCGGGCTGTTACAAGGCACTCCTTTTGGAGGATGGCCAAGTCTGTTACTAGAATATCAGTTTTTTGGCTTAGATAAGCAATGGCCCTGTTTCCCCTCATATTCTCTTAACCACCCTGAAATCGTCGGTAGGAGCTTACCCCAAATCATTCCCTGATGATTGGGTTATTTCCTTAGCTACCAAACTAGCTTTGAGAGACAGGGGTGCAAGAAATAACATCCAAGGTTTGAAATATACAGCCACACAATGAGTATATATAGCTGGGATCCCCCGCTCTAGCCTGGTTTAAAGTCCTGTCCTGATACAGCTGTGGGGACTGTTGATTAAGGGCCACCTCTTCAGACAGAGGCCAGGGTTTGTAGGGGCTGAAGATTTAGAAAGCCTGGAGCGATAGCACAGCAGGTAAGGCGTTTGCCTTGCATGCGGCCAACATGGCCAACCCGGGTTCGATTCCTCCACCCCTCTCAGAGGACCTGGCAAGCTACCGAGAGTACCTCGCCCGCATGGCAAAGCCTGGCAAGCTAACCATGACGTATTCGATATGCCCAAAACAGTAACAACAAGTCTCACAATTTGTTGTGAGATGTTATTGGTACCTGCTCGAGCAAATCAAATGAACAACAGGACAATAGTGCTACCGTGCTACCCGTATGTTAGAAAATTATTCAGCACTTGGTTCCATTTGGGCAAAAATACACTGAAGCTTGGGTTAGCTCCTCTCACCAGATAAATTAGAAAATGGCCCTATCTTGAGCCGGGGAGTTGAAAGCTTAGAAGAAGAGGCAGATGGAAAGTTCATTTCAATGGACTATGATAAGGGTACTGATAAGTTATGACTCAGTGATATGGGAGCACCCAGCTAGGCCCGGGATGGCAGTGGGGAAGACTTTTGGACAAAGGGTCATTTGAATTGGTTCTTGAAGGAAGAGTAAGATTAACCACTCAAAGAAGGGGAAATGAGCTTGCCAGGCAGAGGGGCAATAAAGCAAGATTCTTTAGCGCTCTCTACAGGGGTGAGTCCCAAAATAGTACAATGGAGAGGGCGCTTCGCTTGTACACAGCTGTCCCTTGACTACCACCTGGTGTGATTCCCTGAGCACAACAAAGCCAGGAGTAATGCTGGGCAACGCCAGTGTGGTTCATAAGGAAAGGAAGGGAGGTCAGGGAAGAAAGGGACGGAAAGCTGGTTCCCTCTCACAGGGAGTTCAGAGAGCTGCACGTTATTTAGTTTGGTGTATAAAATTTGTTGGGGGCGGGAACGGTGAGCAGTGAAGAGAGGACTGGGGAGATAAGTGGGGGTTAGATTATGAAAGGTCTTGAATATTATGGCTAAAGACTTGAACTTTCTGTTTTTATTGAGTCGCTGTGAGATACAGTTACAAAGCTTTCAAAACTCAAAAAGTTTGAGTTTCAGTTAAACAGTGATCGAACACCCATCCCTCCATCAGTGCACGTTTTCCATCACCAATGTCCCCGGTACCCCCCACCCCCACCCCCGGCTTCCCAACCCTCCCCCTGCCTCTGTGGCAGATAATTTCCCGCATACTCTGACTCTACTTTTGGGCATTATGGTTTGCAATATAGATACTGAGAGGCTATCACTTTAAGTCCTTTATCTAGTTTCAGCATACATCTCCCATCCCAAACGATCCCTCCAACCATCACTGACTTAGTGATCCCTTCTCTATTCCAGCTGCCTTCTCCCCCAGCTCATGAGACAGGCTTCCAACTATGGAACAATATTCCTGGCCCTTTGTCTACTGTCCTTGGGTATCAGTCTCATATTATGTTGTTTTCATTCCGCAAATGAGAGCAGCCAGTAAAGACTTTAATTTGAGGTGGCTGGAGCATGTCAGGTGCTTGCCTTGCACATGGCCAACCCAAGTTCAATCACTGGCATCCTATATGGTTCCGTGAGCACTGGCAGAAGTGATTCCTGAGTGCAGAGCCTGGAGTAACCCCTGAGCATCTCTGAGTATGGTGATGCAAAAATTAAAAAAAAAAAAAAGACTTCAATTTGATTCTGTACAAGAGTTGAATGTGTAGTTAAAAGCCCAGGATGTAGACTTATGCTGCCTGACTTTGCTTCTGGCCATACCACTGTGTGCCCTTGACTGAATTCTTAATACTCTCGGTCCTGTCTTCTGGTGTGAGCATGTCAGCATGACACCATCTTACCGTGTCTGCCACGTAGAATGTAGATCAGTATTTGCTGTTCAGACTATTACCCTTAGGTCGCTGGGAATCACTGAAGGTTTAATGGGTAGGAAGAGAACCAGATTTGTACATTGAGAAGCTCTCACTTGGTCTGGCACCTGTGTGGGAGAGGAGGTGGGCGACTGAGCCTGGACGTGGGGAACCACCGCTTGAGACAAGTCGGAGAAGGCCCAAACAAGAACAGTATCTGATTGCAAACCATAATGCCCAAAAGTAGAGAGAGAGTAAGGGGGAAATTGTCTGCCATGGAGGCAGGGGCAGTGGTGGGATGGGGGGGATACTGGGGACATTAGTGGTGGAGAATGTACACTGGTGGAGGGATGGGTGTTTGATCATTGTACGACTGAAACGCAAACATGAATAACTGTATCTCACAGTGATTCAATAAAAAACAAACAAAACCAGCATCTGAATCCCCAGAACCACCTGTCAATGCTGAAACAGTCTCTATAGCTCTTTCCAGAGAGGTGACCAACAGATTAGGTAAGTGCTCTGATGCTGAAGGCTTATGTCTCGTCCCGTCTCTGAACACCTACCAGAAGCGACCCTTGAGCACAGAGTAGGTAGTAGCCGCCAGACACAAGCCCCTGCCTGCTGGGTGTGGGGGGAAAAGTCTATCCTGATGCTCTAAGTTAAATCACTGTTACAATATCTATCCTTTGGAGGAGATTGGAAAAGACAGAGTATAAAGAAAACACAAAACTCAGCTATACCGCCCCAGCCTGAGGTGAGCATTCCCTGCCTTGCCGTTGAGTCTGTGTGCCTTCTCCCTCGCAGACACCCCTCCATCCAGCTAGCAGAGAGGTGCTCGGTTCCTCCCAGACACTCCTTTTAAGTGCTCTATTTTCAGTCTCCTGTGGTCACTTTTGTCTGTCACTGAATTTCTTGAAAGGATGATTCTTTCGTTTTTAATATTTATTTTTATCTTAGTTGAACACGGTTCCAGTAATGCCAACATTGTGGTTTTGATGTGCAAAGTTCCTGCACCTCCACCACCACTAAAAACAACAAAGCCAGTGTAGGCCTGAGCATCACCATCACCCGGTGTATCCCCAAAAACCAAAACTTGAAAAAGAGACGCAGCGTCCACCGAGGCGTTTTCAGTGTATTGGAGGGCACCCCCCCCCACCACCACCACCACCACCACGGGATTCAGGAAAGTGGAGATTTCCTATTGACTGATTTCCTTTCTCCAGTGAAGACGGGGCAGGAGAGTTGCCTTTGGCACAGCCTACCCTGGTTTGGTACCCAGTTTCCCGAATAGGGTTCCCCTGAGCACAACTAGGAGTGTCCCCTGTGCTGGGTGTGGCCCCCAGACAAAAACAGATGGGGCAGCGGTAGAGCTCATGCCTCACCTGCGTGACCTCCTGGCTTGGTCCCCAGCCCGCCCGCCCCGCCCCCCCTTCAGTGAGTAAGGGACAGAGCTCAGCAGGCTGAATGCATGCTTTGCAGGCAAGAGGCCCAGTTTTATCCCTGACATCACATGGTCCTCCCCCTCCCCCCGCCCCAACCCCCAGGCCTCACTGGCAGCAGCCTTGAACCCTGAGCCAAGAGTAGCCCCCGAGAACCAATGACTGTCACCCAAACACCAAGACCAAAAACAAACGTCCCAGAAAAGCGTGAGTTAGAATGCAGTGGGCTCTGACCCACCGCCGCAGGGCCAGTCTAATGGCCCAAGGTGGAAGGAGCTAGAAGGTCTGTGGCGCCCCCATGCGGGAGTCTGGGCAAGCGCAGAGAGGACTAAGCCGAGGAAGGCAGTGAACCCCCCACCCCCACCCCCCAGGTAGGTGCCGAATGATGCGTACCCTGAGGAGGGACAGGGTGAACCTGTCTGGAGAGGGAAGGACCAGGCGAGAGATGTTCTAGTGAGGGAGAGCCGGTTGGGGAGTTCATCCACCTCGGACCCAGTTGAGGGCAAGTCAGAACCACCCAAGGGAGCCGCGAAGCGTGAACAGGGGTCCCGCCAGCGCTCCCCCCGCCCCCATCCTGCCTCGGACATGTCTCAGCCGTGCCCTTGTGCTTCGCAGGTGCTGGTGCAGGGCTGTCTCTTGGACCCTTCCCAGCGGGAGGCCTTCCTGCAGCAGGTCAACGAGCAGCTCTGCCTCTTTGAGGATAAGGTCGCAGCCACACTGCAGCAGCAGTATGATCCCCAGGGCCAGGTTTGTGTGTGGGGGGAGGGATGAAGGGGGGACACGACCAGCTGGGCACACTCTCCCCGCCAGAGAGCTCAAGGGCGCTCTCCGAGACGCCTCTGGGAGAGAACGGGAGGCCGGTGGTGGTGCTTGTGTATTTCAGCCCTGGGTCTCCCCTCACCCCCTTGACTGCAGGAGTGGATCTGGGAAGGCGATCGATCGGGGGTGACTTTGATCCCTGTTTACGTTTTGTGTGATCAGGGATGAAACTGCTTGAGCTCAGTGGAATGTGCAGGTTCCTCCGGAGAGCCTCGAAGTAGCCAAGAAAATGTCGGTTCTGTCTGCCCAAAGACTGAAGCTGGTTGATCTAGTTAAGATTTCATAACGGGGATGGAAAAGGGGCCTAATTGATTAGCAAAGTGGGGGGCAGGGCTGCAGGTCCGGAGTTGATGTGAGCTCTTCCCACACAGATGGGGGAGCCTGGGCAGGACCCCGTTGCAGAGCAGGGGCTTTGGGGTTCTCGGACGTCCGACTCGTCGGGCGCGGGCAGTGCTGCACTGCACGTTCTGGCTTGGCTGCGCCTGGGAACCACAATGCCTTGTGCCCCGTTTTCTCTTTCTGTCCCTCGGATCAGGCCGAAGACCAGTCTCCAGACTCCGGGGAGCCCCCCGGCCGGAAGGTGGGAGTCTCCATGGTGACAGCTGACCTTGGGCTGGTCAGTATGATTCGTCAGGGCATCTTGGCACTGCAGTTGCTGCCCTCAAACTCAAGCGCAGGTCAGTAGAGACAAGGTTGGCATAACTGGAGAAATAGGTTTCAGCGGGGGGGGGGGGGGGGGGAGGGGTGGGGATGGGGGGCGTTGTCGGCAAGAATAGTTTCCATGGGGCCAGAGCGGTAGTATAGTGTAGTGGGGAGGATCCTTGCCTGGCATGTGGCCAACCCAAGTTCAATCCCCAGCATCTCATTTGGTCCCCTGAATGCTTTTAGGAGTAATTCCCAAATGCAAAGCCAGCAGTAACCCCTGAGCATCACCAGGTGTGGTCCAAAAACCAACAGGAAGAAGGGGAAAAAAAAAAATATATATATATATATATTATAGGGAAGGCCTGCCCCCCTACCCTTGTCCTGTTCCCTGGATAGCTCTGTTGGATATGACCCCTCTGAGAATCAAAGTAAAAGGGACATATATTTTTTAAAGATAGCAGCACATTGGTTGGCTGACGCTGATACTCAGGGCCCCATCCTGAGAATCAGTGCCTGCCCTCGTGCCTTCGAAGCAGTCCGCCTTCCCAGGGTTCTCAGCCCAGGGTTTCCTGTTCCAGGCATCATCGTGATCACAGACGGCGTGACCAGCGTGCCCGATGTTGCTGTCTGTGAGACGCTGCTGAACCAGCTGCGCAGTGGCACCGTGGCCTGCTCCTTTGTGCAGGTGAGGAAGGCGAGAGGGGACGGCTGGCTGCCTCCCTGCGGCCGGTGTCCTCGGCAAAGCCAGCAGCATAGCTGGGTGCGGGTGGAGGAGAGGTGTCGTGTCTACAACAGGCCGAATGCAGGGGAGGGAAAGGGCTTGAGCTTGGTCACCTTTTCTCAGGATGTGGCCGGGAGTCATAGCAAACAGAAGCCTGACCATCCCAGTCCCCAGTTCCTTTTTTCTTTTTTCTTTTTGGGTCCCACCCGGCGATGCTCAGGGGTTCCTCCTGGCTCTGCACTCAGGAGTTACTCCTGGCGGTGCTCAGGGGACCATATGGGATGCTGGGAGTCGAACCCGGGTCGGCCGCGTGCAAGGCAGACGCCCTACCCGCTGTGCTATCGCTCCAGCTCCCCCCAGTTCCTTTTCTCACGTGTGAGGATCAGAAAGTTCAGCTCAGAGTGTCTACGCAATGAAGGGGTAGGGCTCCAGGAGCCTAAACTCAGAACTATAGCCAGTTTAGACACCTGGAGAGTAGCAGGCAAAGAAGGGGTGTGAGGAGCTGGAGAACAGAGGGACCAGGGCCCAAGAAGCTGGAGTAGGGAGTTGGAGTTGCAGCATGAAGCAGGAGCATGCAGACGTGCGGGCGGAATGCCACGGATTGGGTTGATGTGCATAGAACCCTGCTTGCATCTGGGTGAAAGAAGGTATTTATTGCAGTGCTACATCGTAGCTTAAATGAGAGGGATTTGGTGTAAGAGAAGAAAGAGGACAGGGTTGAGAAAACGAGAGATTAGCATGGAGATACAGGAGGGGTGAGTGAGGAAGAGGAGCTGAGAAGATCCTGGAGTTTCTGATCTCAGTGATGCCTGGGGCGATCAGCAAGTCAACAGGGAGCAAGGCAGCCGCCGTGGATGAAGACAAGAGTGTGCATTAAGAGGGTGCTGGAGCAGTAGCACAGCAGGGAGGGCGTTTGCCTTGCACGTGGCCGACCCGGGTTCAATTTCCAACATCCCCTATGGTCCCCCAGCATTGCCAGGAGTAATTACTGAGTGCAGAGCCAGGAGTCACCCTGAGCATGCTCAGGCATGACCCAGAAAGGCAAATAAATAAATAATTTTTTTTTTTTTTTAGAAAAAGAGTATGAGTTAATAGTCTTGAGTTCAGGTTTGTGCGTGTGTTCAATAAGCTTATGGGAAAGCAGGACAGTAGTGAGATTCATTGCTTTGGAGTTAGGCATGCCTGGTCCCAACCGTGGTTCTGCTTGTGAGTTGTATAACATTTGGCACATCACTTCTTGGTTGGTTTCACATTGGCGGTTATAATATAGTACCTACTTCTTTGGGATATGACACTATAAAGTGTGTGCCTTGTGAATACGAGACCTGGGTTTGCGTCCCATCGCTGCAATCAGTAATGTTTCATAATTAAAAACGATTGGGATTCAGAGTCAGAGTAATAGTACTGGGGGTAGGGCATTGGCCTCGCGCATGGCTGACTCAGGTTCAATCCCCGGCATCCCATACGGTCCTCTGTGCACTGCCAGAAATCATTGTTGAGTGCAGAGCCAGGAGCAACCCCTGAGCATCAGGTATGGCCCAAAAAGAAAAAAAGAAAAAAAAATGGTTGGTATTCATAGCAGTTAGCAGTTGAAGATAGAGATCTGACACTCAGGGGACAGCACTGGTCTTGAGGTGGTTAGGATTTGTCAGCTTTTGGATGGCAATTAAGAGGAAAAGAGGATCCCCAAAGAACCACGAGAACACCTGTGAATAAAGGCTTTCAGAAGAAGAGGCCCGACAGAGGATGAGGAAAATAGACAAGAAGCAGGAGACTCTGGTGAATTCTGATTTTTAATTTTTTTTCAGAAGAGTCAAAAGTTTGGGGACAAAAGAAATGGCGAAAAACAACAGAAAGAGGATGTAAAAATGAGTGAAAAGTGCCCTTCAGATCTGGTGATGCCAAGGTCACGGGGATCATTTTCAGGCCCATTTCTGTGAAGAGGGGGTAGGGGAGGTGATTGCAGTGGATTGAGAAGGGCGTAGAAGAGGAGGAGGTTCCGGCAAGTGTTGACAGACGGAATTTGACAATCTGACTGTTCAGATCAAGTGGTGGGGGCGGGGGGAGAGGCCGAGCCGAGTGCCGGGTGGAAGGAGGGTGTTTCATCGCTTTGTCTTTGAGCTAGAAATCTGAACATATTTCTAAAGGACCGTCATGAAGCTGAGGTTGAAATAAGGAAAATGTAAGGAAGCTGAGGGGGTAAAGGCTCTGAACCAACGGGGACATTGGCTCTTGACACAGGGGTAGGGACTCTGGAGCAGGGGTGTCACTCCTTTAGGTAACAGGCCAAAAGATGCAGATAATTCAGCCAAGAGCCTCCGGTTTCTCTCTGGAGTGAGAAGGGGGCTGAGTCCTCGGAGGGAGCCTAGTCTCAGGAAGGTGGGACCAGATGAAGCCAGCCAGGTGGGATGCAGAGGGCTGAGGTGCTGCCTGCTTGCACAGTGGTGTCGTGTTGGCCACGTAGGACTTGGGGGTAAATGTGGTGAATCTGGCTGGGCTTTAGGAAAGGAAGCAGAAAATACTGAGGGGACAAGGCCGGAGAGCTAGTCCAGGGCTTAAGACACTTGCTCATAGTCAGCCCTGGTTCAGTCCCCAGCACCATAGACAGTCGGTCTTTGAACGCCACCATGGGGGTTCCCTGAGTACTGTGGGTCCCCTCCAACCCCCCAGCCTAAAAAATAGAAAATCGTGAGGAGGACCAGGAAGTTGAGAACGATTCTAATGAATGTGCTTAAATTACATTCCGGTTTGGAGTTGAGAGGGGGCTGGGAAGGTGTGTGGACCTAGAGAAAACAGAGGTTCGTGACCGGCCGTCTCGGCGAAGTGAGACAGCGGCAGCAGTGTGGAAGGGACCCAGGGGGTGCCTGTGTTACCAGTAAGGCAGAGTGAGCTCCTTCCAGGGTCGGCCAGTGGGCGTGGGGGTAAAAGAGACGATTCCTAAGGATGGGGCTGAGGACCGAGGGGCCGGAGAATTGGGTGAGGTTTCCAAAGGTGCGCTGCACACAAGGGCCAGTCAGTATTCAAAACGGATGGAGCCCAGGGGCCAGAGCGATAGTACAGTGGGTAGAGCATTTGCCGGGCATGTGACCAACCCGGGTTTGGTCCCAGCTAGCATCCAGCATGAAAATACAGTCAAGGAGTGGTAGTGGTAGTGCAGCAGGTAGAGCCCGTGCCTTGCACATGGCTGACCACGGTTCAATCCCGGGCATCCCATGGGTCCTCCAAGTCCTCCAGGAGTGCTCCCGGAGCACCACTGTGTGTGGCACAAAGTTTTGCGTTTGTTTTTGTTTTGGGTCCACACCCAGTGATGCTCAGTGCGCGCTCGCTCAGTCGGGGCTTACTCCTGGCTCTGCACTCAGGAATCACTCCTGGCAGGCTTGGGGGATGCCGGGGATGAACAGGGTGGGCCGTGTGCGAGGCAAGTGCCTTAGCCACTGTTTTGTTATTCTAGCTCCAATGTGGTGGCACTTTTTTTTTTTTTTTTTGCTTGTTGGGTCACACCCGGCGGTGCACAGGGGTTCCTCCTGGCTCTGCACTCAAGAATCACTCCTGGCGGTGCTCGGGGGATCATATGGGATGCTGGGAATCGAACCTGGGTCGGCTGCGTGCAAGGCAAAAACGCCCTACCCGCTATGTGCTATCGCTCCAGCCCCACAATTTTTTTTTTAATAAAACAAAATGCAGATTATTCACCTAGCCTACCAAGCTCCATGGCTTAGCCTCTGCTTCCCGAGCAAACTCAGAATACTTGGATTCGCCTGCAGATAATCTGGCAAAACATCGTCTAGCACAAAGGTTGTTTCACAGTTAAGAGCTAAATACCTCATGTAATTCATTGAGTACTGTATTAGGGCAAGGCGGAGTGCCCTGATTCAGAATTTGTGGGATTTGTGACTAATGACTGCATCTTGCTTTCACACCGTTGTAAAGTCAAGAGACTGGGAAGGAAAGCCATGATGAGTCAGGGACACCTGTTCTCACCCCTGCCCCAGTGGCGTGAAGGCAGACGGAGACCCCTGAAAATAAACAGTGTGGCTGTAGCCCCCACAGGACGATTCCCCAAACAGAGGTGCTGGGCGATATTCCGTCCACGGGCTGTGTTTGTGGATCTCTGATCTGCAGGGCTAGTACTCAAAAACGGTTGTCTGCAGAGTGCATCCCCGTCCTCAGCCCTGCCGCTGAGCAGAATCCCCAGGGGCCTCGCGTGTACCCCAAAGTCTGAGCAGCACTTTGTGAGAGGGCTTTGTTAGAGGGGTCCTGAAATGGCGATGAGGACGAGTCCAGTGAAGCGTCTGCCCACATCTTGAGCCAAGGGGCTCGCGGGCAGGACCAGCGTCTGCAGCCGAGGCTGTGGTCAGATGCTGGGCTTCAGACCGAGGCCCAGGGAAGGCAGCCTGCAGAGCAGCGGCCCTGCGGAGGGAGCCTCCTGCTCTGTGGCCGGGAGCCTGGGCACAGCCCCCCACCCAGGCTTTTCCTCCGAGATGGACTGCCCTCCTCCGGGGCCCCTTTTGGAGCAAGGCTCTCCGAATGCTCCGTCTGTCCAGGTGGGAGGAGTTTACTCTTACGACTGCAGCTTCGGCCACGTGCCCAACGTGGAGTTGATGAAGTTCATCGCGATGGCGACGTTCGGCTCCTACCTGTCCACGTGTCCCGAGCCAGAGCCAGGCAACCCCGGTCTGACCGTCTACCACCGGGCGTTCCTCCTCTACTCCTTCCTGCGCAGTGGGGAAGCCCTGAACCCGGAGTATTACTGCGGTGAGAGGCTGGCGGGGGCCGTGGAGGGGGGGCCCACCGACCACGCAGGACTCCCGTCTGGGTCTGGGACCCCCGGGGACAGACGCCGAGGCACCGTCCTCGCCCAGGATCTCCCTGCAGCCCTGCCTCTGCCTCTCTGCCAGCTCGCGGACAACCTTCTCCTCTCCTGTCCTCACACGCTAGGCTCCCAGCACCGCCTGTTTAATGAGCACCTGGTCTCCGCCAGCAGCAACCCCGCCTTGGCCCTGCGCCGGAAGAAGCACACGGAGAAGGAGGTGCCGGCTGACTTGGTCAGCACCGTGTCCGTGCGGCTCCGAGAGGGCTACAGCGTCCGAGAGGTCACCCTGGCCAAAGGTGAGGGTCGCCGAGCCCCACCGTGCCCCGAGGGTTCTCTGCACCCCGCTGGATCTCCGCCAACACCCACAGCTTGTGCGCGGGTCACAGTGACAGGCTCTGCTGGTCGTTGGAGACAGGCAGGGTCTGAGCTGCCCTCGGAGCTCGGTTCCCTCAGCACATCCCATCCCGATTCCTTGTCCTCGCCCGGGGGCAGCGAGGGCGAGGGGGTCTCCCGAGCTCGGCTGTTTGCCCGTTGTGCCCCCAAACTTCCCTTGGTGGCTTGCCACACTCGGGGCCCACCCGGCCCAGCGTCCTCCGCCCTCTCTCGCCGCAGGCGGGGCCCAGCTGGAGGTGAAGCTGGTGCTGCTGTGGAAGCACAACATGCGCATCGAGTACGTGGCCACGGCGCCCTGGCCCCTGGAGCCCGAGGGCCCGCGGGGGACGCGGGTGGAAGTGACCATGGAAGGCGGCTACGACATCCTGCACGACGTGTCCTGTGCACTCCGGCAACCCATCCGCTCGCTCTACCGCACGCACGTGATCCGGAGGTTCTGGAACACGCTGCAGAGGTGAGGGAGGGGGGGGGGGCCGGCGTGAGCTGCCGGGAGCCCCCCCCACAGAGCCTGTGGCTCAGGGCGGTCTCGTCCCCAGCATCAACCAGACAGACCAGATGCTGGCTCACCTGCAGTCCTTCTCCTCCGTCCCGGAGCACTTCACGCTTCCCGACAGCACCAAGAGCGGAGTGCCCCTCTTCTACATCCCTCCTGGCTCCACCGCCCCAGTGAGTGCCCCAGGCCTGCCTGCCCGCCCGCCTGGCCTTGGGTTCAGCCCCCTTCCCTTCCCACTTCGCTCTCAAGTCATGCCCCATGCATCAGCCCTGGGGGCGGGGGGGCAGTTCTCCCTCCTCGGAGCTCCGTGGAGGCTCTGTTGCCCTCCTCAGCAGACGAGGCTGTGCTCAGTCCGACCCGCAGGCCTCTGGGTGGTGTCTCAGCGGGCACAAGCCCGCTCACCCCTCTCCACCTGGCATGCGCCGGCCCAGTTCCTGATCCCATCCCCGGCCCCTGCCAGCCACCGTGAACGGGCCCTTCCTGAAGAGAGCACTTTCTCCACGATTCCTTCACACTCGACCCACAGCCTCCAGCCTAGCTTGAAGGGTGGGAGGCTCGTGCCGCAGGGGTGGTGTCATTCCTGGCGGTTCTCAGGGGCGGAACCCCAGCCCCAGCCTGCAGCACTTTCTGCGGCCCCTGTGCTCGGCTTTTGAGGGGTCCCCCGGAACCCCAGGCCCCTGCCTCCTAACCGAAACTCTCCAAGTGGAAGCAGCATTTGCCTCTGTTCTAGGCTGGGCCGCAGCTTCCTTTACCACCCCCCCCCTCCCCAAGACTCCGCCATCTCTGGGGCCTGGGAGACAGGACGAGGCGTAAGGCACGGGCCTCCCCAGCGGCCAACCTGGGTTTGGGCTCCGGCACCAAATAGGGTCCCCCCGCCTGATCCCCGAGCACAGAGCCAGGAGCAAGCCCTTAGCACTGATGGGTGTGGCCCCAAACTCAGAAAAGCATAAAAAAAAAAAGAAAAAAAACCAAAAAACTCCACGACCGCCCTGCTGCTGGTTGGAGGCGACCCTGTGGCCTACCGCCCCCCCCGGCGCGTCTGTCCTGCCCAGGTGCTGTCCCTGCAGCAGAGTGCCTCAGACTCGTCCCACGCCCAGTTTGCCGCCTACTGGAAGCCGGTGCTGTCCATGGACGCCAACTCCTGGCAGCGCTGGCTACACATGCACCGCCTGGTGCTCATCCTGGAGCACGACACGTGCGTCGCCTCCGAGCGGGGGTGGGGGGGCGGGGGTGGGGGGAGGGGCGGGCGGTGTGACGGCAGCCCGCGCCCCTCCCCAGGCCCATCCCCAAGCACCTGCACACGCCGGGCAGCAACGGGCGCTACAGCACCGTGCAGTGCCGCATCTCGCACTCGTCCCTCACCTCCCTGCTGCGGGACTGGAGCAGCTTCGTGCTGGTCGAGGGCTACTCCTACGTGAAGCTGCTCTCCAGGTGTGCGGCGGGACCCCCCGCCCCCGCCCCCAGCCCACCCCCAGCCGCGGCGGCTCACCGGCGGCTCCCGTTCCTCCCCAGCGCCCCCCGACCAGCCCCCCTTCTCCTTCTACATGGTCCGCATCATCTCCAAGGCACCCTGCATGGTCCTGCGCCTGGGCTTCCCCATCGGCACGCCGGCCCAGGCCCGGCACAAGGTAGGCCCCGGCGGGGAGGCGGTGGCGGGAGACGGGGGGAGGGACGCCGGCCCCGAGCTCTGTGGGTCCCCGGATGGAGCAGTGACCCCCCCACTCCCCCCAGATCGTGTCGGAACTGCGGGAAGAGATCCTGCGGCTCCGCTTCCCGCACCGGGTGCAGAGCAAGGAGCCCACCCCCAAGGTGAAGCGGAAGGGGCTGGGGGGCGCGGCGGGGGGGCAGCTCTCCCTCCAAGTCCCCCACCGTGCTGGGGCCCCAGCAGGCCCTGTCTGACCGGCCCTGCCTGGTGGTCCTGCACAAACCGCTGGACAAGCTGCTCATCAGGTGGGTGTGGGGCGTGGCCAGGGGCCCGGCTGGGGCCGGGGCCGGGGCCGGGGCCAGGGCAGGTCACCTGGGAGCTGCCTCCTTCCCCCAGGTACGAGAAGCTGCCCCTGGACTACCGGGCCCCCTTCCTGCTGACCCTGGAGCCCCCGGGCCCGCTGCCCCTGGTGTCGGGCCGCTCCGCCTCCTCCAGCCTCGCGTCCCTGTCCCGCTACCTGTACCACCAGCGCTGGCTCTGGAGCGTCCCCTCGGGGCTGGCCCCCGCGCTGCCCCTCAGCGCCATCGCCCAGCTGCTGTCTGTCCTCACTGAGTACGTGCCGGAACCACGCCGGCCACCGTCCCTCTGCCCCGTCCCGCGCCCTGCCTGTCCCCGGCCCCCACTCGCCTGATAAGAGTGAAGGGACCGTGGTGGTGGAGGCCGCGTTTGGGGTGGGGGTGGACACACGGGGGGCAGGGCACTCCTCCGAGAGTCTCCCGGTCTCATCCCCGCCCTTGCCCCGCTCTCTGGCTCAGGGTCCGGCTGTCTGAGGGGTTCCACTTCGCCTGCAGTGGGGAAGGGATCATCAACATGGTCCTGGAGCTCCCCATCCAGGTGGGTGGCAGCCCCCCGCCGGGCCTTGTCATCGTCCCTGGGATGCTCACCCCTGAGCTGGGCGGGGGCGGGGGGGGAGGGGACTGCGGGAAACTCCACTTTACAGGGGTCCCACGGAGCCGACGCTCTGAGGGCCAGCGGGTCCTGGCCCGCTCCACCTGGCTGGCCTCCCCCACAGAACGAGCCCCCGGGCCAGGCTGCCGCGGACGAGAGGCACACGTGTGTGGTCCAGTACATCCTCTTCCCGCCGCACTCCACCTCCACCAAGGACAGGTGAGGCCCAGCCCGCCCGCGCGCTGCGGCTCAGCCCCTATGGCCACACTCAGCCCCGTCTTCCTCCAGCTTCTCCACAGATGACGACAACGACGTGGAGGTGGAGGCCCTGGAGGGGGACTCGGAGCTCAACCTGGTGACCGAGGTGTGGGTGGAGCCGCAGTACGGGCACGTGGGGCCCGGCCCCGAGAGCTGGCGGCACCTCCGGGACCTGACGTACTCTGAGATCCCGCAAGCCGTGAGTGGCCCCCACCCTTCCCCTCGGTGGACCCCCGCCTGGGGCTGTCTGGCGGGGGCTGGGGGGTGGGGGGGCATGGCCCGTGACCTCTGCTCCTCCCCCTCCAGCTGCACCCTCGGGACGCGGCCTGCATAGGCTCCCTGCTGAGCTTCGAGTACCTGGTCCAGCTGTGCCAGAGCAAGGAGTGGAGTCCCCTCCCCCCCGAGCTGAGGGTCGCGGACGGTCAGTGGGCACGGAGCCCCCGGCAGAGCGGGGCAGTGGGTGGGGAGGGGACAGCTGCGAGCACGGACGCCCAGGCTCCATCACAGGCGTGCCCCCCCATCCCCCAGGGTCAGAGCGCCGGGGTGACGCCTGTGTCCATGAGATCCCTTTCCACTTTGACCTCCTGGGGCTGTTGCCCCAGTGCCAGCAGCTCCAGATGTCCTTCCTGCTGCTTTCCAGAGGTGGGTGAGCTCCGGGCCCGCCCTGGGGACCGGCCAGCCTGGGCGTGAGGCCCCCCGAGGAGCACTGGGGCGGGGACGGGGCAGAGGGGCCGCAGGGCGGGCTGGCTGGCATGGGGTCGGGGCGGTCCCGGGGGTGGGGCCAGCAGGAGGCCCTTGGTGCTGAGCCGAGTGTGTGTCGGGCAGAGCCGGAGGGCGTCCCCCTCGCGGAGGGGCCCTGTCCCGCCAACGACATGGTGCTGTGCCTGCTGCACAGCTGCCTGGGGCAGGAGCTGAGTGACCGGGAGATCCCGCTGGCCCCTGCGGACCAGGCCACCTTCCTGAGCGAGGTGCAGCGGCGGAGCCGCCCCGGCCCCGGTGAGCCCCACGCTCCCGCCCCGCCTCCCCCCTCCCCGCCTCTCTGCCCTGCCCCCCTCCATCACCTCTCCCTCCTCGTAGGCCCAGAGGACCCGCCCGCGGGGGGGCCATGGCATCCTGATGGGCCAAGCGGTCAGCAGCAGCCCGGCCACTGGAGACTCGGCACTTCCGGCCTGGGTCAGCCCCGTCCCCTCTCCACTCCGTCCCCTTCCTGCCTCCCGGTGTGGGGTCATCACCCCCGAGTGTTTTACCCACTGCCCTGGCCCTGATTGCCTCTGTCCGTGACGGGGAGTCCACCCCTCTTCCACCCCCCCCCCCCACCGTGCCCACTGTTGGACACTGCAGGGATTGGCCTCAGCGGGGAGGAGGGCCGGGAGTGGGGGGTCCCCTCTGGAGAGCTGACTTGGTTTCTCTCTTCCAGAGCGGCGGCCCTCCCGACGCGCTCAGGCCTCTCCTCTCTGCCCAGCCCCCTCAGTGGCGCTGCTACGCGAGGCTGGTCAGCCCCCAGCACGTGTTTCTGACTTTCCTGCCAGCCACCTTCTCAGGTACCCGCGCACCCCCTGCCCCCCGCCCACCTCCCCCACCCCCCGCCAGCCTCACGGGCGCCCTCAGCACCCGCCCCGGGCCCTGATGCCGGCCTCTGCCTCCCTCTCCAGACGTCCAGCATCTGGCAGCGCGTGGCCTGGAGGGACCCTCTCAGGAGGACCCGAAGCCCAAGTTTGGGGATTGGAGTGGGGCCCCCAGGGCCCAGGTGCCCCTTGTCAGCGTCACCCCGGCTGGCGGCGCGGCTGCCGACCTCACAGAGAACACAGGAGTGGGGGGTCGTTGGAGGCCTGGAGGGGGGCCGCATGAGCTCTCTTCCTGCGGACGGCGCCCCGGGCCCAGAGGGGCCGAGCTCCCCTCTGTGCCAGGACCCCCAGGCAGGCGCCGGCCGGCCGGCTCCGCAGAGCGAGGGCGCAGACGGGCCCCGCACACGGTGTCCCGTCTACATCTACAGCTGCGCCCTGGAGGCGCTGAGGGAGCAGATGGTCGGCCTGCAGCCCCCTCAGGTGCCCCGGGACCTCATCTTCCGGTGGGTCTAAGGCTGGGGAGCTCCAGGCGGGGGTGGAGGGGTGGGGGGGGGGCGGGGCGTGTGCAGGAACTCCAATGCTTAGCTGGGGGCTTTCTGGCCTGCTGCAGCCCGGTGGGGAGGGTCCCGTGCAGGTGCCAGGGGCATGTGGCAGGTGCGGGGGGAGCCCCAGGGCTCCGCAGGGAGGCGGCCGAGCTCTCTCCTCCGTCCCTAGGACTCAGTTCCTGGAGCAGCCCTCCCCGCCCTCGGCCTGGATGGAGCCCAGGTGCAAGGAGGCGGCCAACCACTGTGCCCTGCTGCAGGAGCACGCACAGCGCTGCTACGTCCGCGGTAGGCAGGCCGCACCCGCCAGAGGCGCCAAGAGACCCGGGCTGGGCGGTGGGGACCCCAGGGGCCGCTCCGGAGCTTGAGCCCCGGGGCCCCCACCCCTGCAGGGCTGTTCCGGAGCTTACAGCAAGCACAGAGCGTGGCGACCCAGGACCTGCAGCTGGCGGTGGACGCCTGTGAGGAGCTCCTCCAGGAGGTGGACATAACCCCTTTCCTGCTGGCCCTGTGCGGCCACGCCCGGGCCCTCCCCCAGGCGCCCCCGAGCCCGGGGCTTTTTAGCAGCAGCCTTGAGGAGGGCCCCGAGCCTCGGGAGCGAACCATCCTGGCCTCGGAGTCCAGGTGAGGCATGGTGTTCTCTCTTTTTTTCTTTTTTTTTTGGCTTTTTGGGTCACAAGTGGCGATGCTCAGGGGTCACTCCTGGCTCTGCACTCAGGAATTACTCCTGGCGGTGCTCGGGGGACCATATGGGATGCTGGGGCTCGAACCCAGGTCTCGGCCGCATGCAAGGCGAACACCCTACCCGTGGTGCTGTCGCTCTAGCCCTGAGGCGTGTTCTTGAGTGACGGGGATGGTGGCACCCACAGTCTGTCGACAAGAACCTCCCAAAGGTGGGGGGTGGCCACGCTCGGTAGCCCCAGGACGCTGCCGTGCCCTGCCGGCTGCCTCTTCCCCCTCCCGCACTCTCCCCATCTCTTCTCCGAATTGGGGTTCAGGGAGGCGTCTGTGAACGGAGAAGCCCACCCTGCAGGACACACAGTCACAGCCTGGCGGGTGCTTACGGCAGAACCTGGGCTGGGCGCAGGGCCGCGTCCTTGCTCTCCTGGGAGGGAGGGAGGGAGGGACCCCGGCCCATCTCTGGCGTCGGCCTTTTGTTCCCACCTCCACCTGGGCTCTCGATTCTCAGGGACCAGGGTCTGGGAACCCCCCACCCACAGATCCCAGACTGAAGGCTAAGTCACCCTCACGCCTTCCTGTCCTTCAGAAGCGTCCAGCCGCCAGGGGACTCAGGGCTGGGATGTGACTTAGAGGGTCTGGTCCCCTCCCCCCTCCCCCACACACACACCCTCTGAGCTCTGACCAGTGCAGGCTCCCCACACTTTGGGGATCCCATGCGCAGCCCCCTTCCCCAAGACCCCGGCAGACTGGGGTGCTGCTTCCCGCTGGGAAACGAGCTCCTCGGGGACACCCCCCCGCCCCCGGCACGTGCTCATTCCGCACCTTCTCCCCGACCTGCAGTATCGAGACGGAGGACCTGAGTGAGCCCGAGTTCCAGAGTGCGCGCGTCGCCGGCCCCCTGGACCCAGGCCTGGAGATCTCCCTGGCGGACGTGTGCCAGCTCAGGGGGGAGGCCCACGAGGCCCTGCACTGCCTCATCCAGGTGGGCTGCGTGGCTGTTCCGGGCTGTTGGGGGTGGGATGCTGAGGGCCGGCTGACACCGCGGCCTCCTCCTACCCCACCAGGAGAAGTTCCTGGAGATCAGTGGTCTGCACTTCCGCACGGTGCCCTCCAACCCGCACTACTTCTTCTACTGCCCCCCAAGCAGCAGGCGGGAGGTGAGGCCTCTGCTTCCTTCCAGCCCCGCCCCTCCCCCGCCCCCTACACCTGGCGGTGGCCCGCCCCCTGCACCTTGCCTTGGCCCAGCTGTTTCTCCTCCTGCCCAGGACGAGGGTCCCCGGGACGCGGTAGACAGAAAAGTCAGTGACCTGGAGTTCTCCGAGGCTGAGCTCCTGGGCGAAGAAGGTGTGTGGGCAGGCGGGTAGGGGTGGGGAGAGCCCCCCAACCACACCGCCCCCACTACCGTGACCATGCGGGCTGCCTCTCTAGGAGACACGTCAGCGGGCTGTGCGGTCACGGAGAGTGACCCCGAGCTGGAAGTGGAGTACCGGGAGAGCCGGGAGGCCGAGCTGGGGCCCGTGGGACTGGACTCTGCCTCGCTCTCGGACGCAGACACCGTGAACCCGGATGAGGACTCCTTCAGCATCCTGGGGGGCGACTCGCCCACGGGCCCCGAGAGCCTCGTGCATGACTTGCCACCTCTCTTCCTGCACCTCACCTGCTCCGTGCGACTGCGTGGGCAGCACAGCTCTGTCCCCGTGTGCACCCTGCCCACCTGCCTGGGTGTGTGCAGGGCATGAGGCGGCCTGTGTGTGTGTGTGTGTGTGTGTGTGTGTGTGTGTGTGTGTGTGCGCGCACGCGCACGTGTGTGTATGTGGGTTGGGGGGGGGCAGTGCAGCTCGGTTCTCGGTCCCCGTGTGCAGCCTGCCCACCTGGTGGGTGCGTGCAGGGGCAGGGGGCGGCCCGCCCGCCGGCCTGGGGAGGCGGGAGAGCAGTCTCGGGTCTCCCTCTGCAGCACTGAGCCTTCGAGAATCTCTGCGACCCCACGCTTTCCCCCCTTCCCAGGCCAGGTGCTGGCCAGTCTGGAGGGCCCCCCCATCGGAGGCCGCGTGCTCCTGAGGGACCTGAGTGTCACCCTGGATGTCTTCGTGCTGACCTTGCCCCTGGAAGTGGAGCTGCCCCCGACTGCAGACCCTCAGCACCACCGGTATGGGGCCTTATGGCCGCGAAGGACTTTAGGGGAACTGGGGCTTAAGTGCGTTCCGAGAGAGGAGTGCGAGGGGCAGGGGGGCGGGAGGGGGGTGTTGGGTAGCAGCTGACCTCCACCCTGTGCTCCCGCTGTTCAGGTCGGCCTCCGAGAGCAGCACTTCCTTCCCACGCTCTCCGGGGCAGCCATCGTCCCTGAGGTCCGATGATGGTCTGGGGCCCCCCCTGCCAGCCCCAGATGATGACAGGTACTTCCTTGTGACCCCCCCCCCTCAGAGTTCCGCGCCCCCCTCAGCACTGGCTTCAGGAAACAAATATCTGTTTTTGTTTTAATTTTTTTTTTCTTTTTGGGTCACACCCAGTGATGCTCAGGGGTTCCTCCTGGCTCTGCACTCAGAAATTACTCCCGGTGGTGCTCGGGGGACCATATGGGATGCTGGGGATCGAACCTGGGTTCGTTGCATGCAAGGCAAATGCCTTGCCCGCTGTGCTATCGCTCCAGTCCCAGTAAACGAATATCTGAACGTTCCTTCCAACCAGGCACCCGGGACTGTCCAGCTTGGCCGCCCCCCACAGACTGGCTGTTGAGACCACCATGAGTGAGGTGAGGGCCCACCTTCCCCTGACATGCGTGACGGCCCTCTGCGGTGCCAGTGCTCAGGGAGACGAGGCTTTCCTGACTCAGGACCACGTCGGGCCTCCCGAGCCTGTGTGACGGCATCTCTTCTGCTAGTTTTTAGTCAGGCCGGAGACAGGACAGCGGGGAGGGCGCTTGCTTTGCAAGCAGCTGAGCTGGGTTCGATCCCCGGCGCTGTCTCTGGTCCCCCGGCTCCTGCCAGAAGTGATCCCTGAGTGCAGAACCAGGAGTCGGTCCCCTTACACTGCTTGCTCTGAGCCCGTCCCTCCCGCCCCGGCTCAATAAATATATAAATAAATAGATAAATAGAAGCGAACTGATGCCACTCAGTCGGGGCTCTGTGAACTGGCCGCCACTTCCCGGCTCGCTCTCTCTCTCTGCAGATCCGCTGGCTGCTGGAGGACGAGATGGTGGGGGCGCTCCGAAGAGGGGGCCTCCCGCAGAGCCCCGCCCTGCATCGCGCGGCCGCCCACATCCACGGCTCTCCCGGGCGCTCCACCTGCCTTCGCCAGACCTTGCCTCTGAGCTTCGTGTTTGGGCCAGAGCGCTCCCTCGCGCAGTTCAAGGAGGTCTGCTGCCCTCGGAACACTCCCGACACTGTGACGCGACTGTCCCTGGGCGGCGGGCACAGGGGGAGGCCCCTCCAGCGTGGGGCTTGGAGTTACCCTCCCGTTCGTCTCCTCGCCCATCCCAGGCAGTCCCCCCCCCCCCCCCCGGAGCAGGGAGACCCAGCCCCCAGCCTTGCCAGCGAGCCTGTTGCACCCCCATCTGGCCACTGTGCCTCTTGGTGCCTCGGCCTTGGGCATGCAGGGAACGCAAGAGTCCGGGCAGAAGTGGGCACTAACTCCGACTTCGGCTCCCGCCCCCTAGGAGTTCCGCCGACTCCACCTCCCCGGCCACGTTCTTCTCGAGGACCCCGACAGTGGCTTCTACTTTGTGGCGGCAGGACAGCCACCAGACAGGGCTCCAGGGGTGCCCCCCTCAGCAGCCTGGGCGTGGCACAGCCAGGAGGCCGAAGGCCTTGAAGGGGAGGTCGGTCTCCCCTGGGCTGTTGTGGGGATGGAGGGTGTCCTGGCGGGGGCTGGGGAGGGGGGTTCTTGTCTGTCCTCGGTTCCTCAGCCTGGCTTTCTTCCCCACAGGCCCTGGCATCCAGTCCCCCAGCCCCCGGCTCTCCAGAGGATTCTGAGGGGCCCCCTCTCAGCAGTCCACCCAGTCTGCCACAGGGAGGTGAGAGACGACTGGGCCGCGGAGTCTGGGGTCAGCCCAGGTCTCGGCAGAGGGCCGTCCCGGGCAGGACTGAGAACGCTCAAGCGTCTTCCTTCTCTTCCCAGGGGGCCATCCGGGGCCTCGCCGGGGACTGAGCCTTATGTCCAGTCAGGGCAGTGTGGACTCAGACCACCTGGGTAAGTGGGGGCACGGGGACGAAGGACTCTCAGCTGGTGGGAAGTGCAGAAAGGTTTGGGGAGGGCGCCTCGGACCCCGTGCCCACCGGGCCTCATCCGATGCACCAGGCCCGGCTCAGAGCGGGCTTCAGCTCGGGCGCATTTGACGCAGGATATGACGGTGGCAGCAGCGGCTCGGACAGCGAGGGTCCCAGCGAGACCCTGGGCGGGAAGGCCCCCTTCTCGCTGCGGACCCCTCCCGGACTGGTGCCCCCGCAGCCTGTGCTCGCCGGCCTCCCCGGCCCCTGCCTGCCTGACTTCTGGCTCATCGCGCGGGTGCTGCAGGACCGCGTGGAAGTCTACGCACATGCACGGTAGGAGGAGCCGGAAGCCGCTCTCCCTGTCCTGGGCAGCCCCCTCAGGAGGGTTAGGGCAGGCCCTGGTTTGGCACTGACCGGGTGTGGCTGGGGGCGCCCGGCCACTTCCTGCCATGTGTAGCAAAAGGCTTGTCCCTCGGCTTCCCAAAGAGGGTTTGGGCTCCTACCCGAGGCACCAGGCCTGGCCGGCTCAGGGCTTCCGAAAAAAAGAGATCGTGGGTGGCATTTAACACGTGCTTCCTGTGTGGCAGTCACTGTACTGAGTGGCTTTGCGCGTCCGATCTGTAACAGCCCCACCAAGTATTGTCCTTCTGTTTGTCCGGGGGCCACGCCCGACAGTGCTCGGGACTTACTCTTAGATCCGCGCTCCGGGATCACGCCTGGCAGGACTTGAGGGACCAGGAGGGACGCCAGGGATAGAAGCCAGGCTGGCCACATGCAAGGCATTGCCTTCCCCACCGGACTGGCTCTCGGGGCCCCCGCCGCTGCCCTGGCGTGGGAGAAGAAAGCCAAGCACGGCGGCAGTGCCTGGGCACCTGGTTCGCCGCCGCTGTGGCCGCAGAGTGGGGTGGGCGCGGGCCGAGAGAGGGGAGGGGCGGCTCTGAGAGGGAGAGGGGGCCGACGGGAAGCCGGAGCCAGGGCCCAGAGCGGGGAGCTCCGGTTCCCCTCCCTTTCCTCTTCTACTATCCTTGGCTCAGTCCTCCTTGGCTTTTGTGGGTCCCCTCGGCCTCTCTCCCCTGGCCCGACAGCCCCTGCCCCCCTGTTCCTCCCTGCGATTTTGTGCACGGTTGCTCTTCCCAGGAGCCTGCACCGGGAGGGCAGCGGACCCGGCTCCGAGTGCCGCCACCTGCAGCAGCTCCTGGTGAGGCGCGTGGGGGAGATCTGCAGGGAAGTCAACCAGGTAAGGGGCAGCCGAGGGCAGGGCCGCCGGGCAGGGGCCATCCCAGGTGCAGGCGGTCCCGGTCCCGGGGGCTGTGGCCGCTGTTTCCCCAGGGTCTGAACCTGCCTCCCCGCCCCCACCCCATAATGCATGCGGGTCTCCCTCCTCCCCTCCTGGAGACTGGGAGCCGCCGTCTCCTCTCACTGCGCAGTTCCGGCCTGAGGGGAGAGGAGAGAGGCAGTGACTCTGGGACAGGGGTCGGTCGGGGAGCCAGGGAGCCCCCAAATTCTACCGAGCTCCATTGCATTTGTGGAGGGTTCTGCCGAGGAGATGCAGAGGATGACGATGGGAGCCTGATCCTCGGGACGGCGTCTCGGAAGCAGCTTCCGCTAGGCTGACACCCAGGGGTGGTGCTAGGTTCTGGCGCGGGGTCGGGGCAGTTGTTCCTGACTGGGTCCAGAGGCTGCCGACGGCCCGGTGATGGCCGAGCTGCCCCTGCAGACATCCCTGGCCGGCTCCCTGGCCTCTGCTCGCCTCTCCCCCGCCCCCCCCGCCCCCGCCAGTTCCCGGGGGACCCCTCCAGGGTGCCCTGACGCCGGCCGCCTCCCCCCGCAGCGGCTGCTGCTCCAGGACCTTCACGACAGCCACGTGTGCAACTCACTGCTGGTGGCCGAGAGCGAGGAGGACCTGTGGCGGAGCGAGAGCCTCTTCCACTCGCGCCAGCGGGCACCCCTGCCCAGCGATGGTGAGCGCCCCCTCCCCCCCCACCCCCTGCCGCCGCCCTTCAGCCAGTCCTCGCGTGAGGCGCCAGAGACGGCCGCCGTCCCGGCCTGGTCATGGGGCCGTGGGGCCCAGGGCGAGCAAGGAGGGCAGCACTGGCCAGCTCACGGATGACCGGTGCCAGGACCGCGGCCCCGACGGGGGAGTGGCGGGAGAGGCAGGGACCCCACGGGGCTCAGGGGGTGGCGTGAGGACTTTTCCGGGCAGTGAAGACCACGTGGGCACACGGGAGCGAGAGGAAGAGCCCGTAGGCGGGAGAGGCCAAGGGATGAAGAGCCTCTGCCCAGCCTGCCTTGGTTCCCAGGGCGACCATCTCTCTGCGGGGTACTAGGGTGGATGGGCCTGAGGCTTGGTGGGGGGATGGGCCTTCCAGTGGGCTCTCCCTTCTCCCCCCCCCCCCCCCCCCGCAAGCAGCCCCAGCCCCGCTGGGCGTTGGGGAAACTGTTCCCCCCAGTTCCTTCTCTCCCTCCTCCCGGCGGCCTCTCGCCGGGCTCGTGGAGGAGAGCGCAGTCATCGTTCTTCCTCAGCTCTTCCTCCCTCCCTCCTGGTTTCAAGGTAAAAAAAAAAAATGGAAAACAAACAGCTGCTTGCTTTCAACCTTCTCAGCAAGTCTGTTGGCCACGGGGGCGGGGCGGGGGCGCGTGTCTCGGCGCATTCCGGGTTGTCTCCACATCAAAACGCCGTGCCCACAATTAGGGGCTTCCCGGGACGCAGAGGCTGCCCGCGGTGCAGCCCAGCAGGCGTGGGGATAGGCATGCACGTCTATGGGGATGGGCATGCAGAATGAGGCCCAGCTGCCTGGGGTGGGCGCGGCCCACCCGCGGTGCAGCCCCGCCATATGGTTTCCTGCAGCCCTCAGCCGCCGCCGCTGGTGCTGTCCTGCGAGTGCCCCGGGCCCGCAGTGCTCCAGAGCACCCCCACGGCTCGCCTTGCTTAGAGCGGGTGCTTGCTGCCCGCGCCTGTGAGGACGCAGCTAGGAGTTGCACGGCATGAGCCGGGATAGTCCGGCCGTAGCGTCCCGAGCTCCTCCTCCTCCTCCTCTGCCCTCCTGCCCTCCTCCTCTCAGCGTCTCCCCCTCCGCCTCCCTCTGCTCCCTGTGCTCTGACCTGCCTGGCCAGGCCGTGCCTCTGCCTGGCCCCGTCCTCCTGCAGGGGGGGAGGGCAGAGGCGCCACGGGCAGGCAGACCGTGCAGGCCGGCTCCCAGGGGGGACACCTGGGCTGGCCCCTGGCCGGCCCCCGTTTCCCGATGACCGGGGTCTCCCCGCCCACAGATTATGCTGCCGACGAGAGCTGTGCGCCCCGCGGGTACCTGGCCGCCACCATGCAGTTCGTCCCTGGCCATTTCTCCTGTGACGTGGTGTGGGGGACCGTGATTCGCGTGCACTCGCGCCTCAAAATGGGGCCCAGCATGGGTGTCTCTCGGGGTACGTGACCGGCACGAGCAGGCGTGGGGAGGGGGTGTGTGCAGGAGGCGCCCTCTGACCCCCGCTGTGGCCCACAGCCATCCAGGCCCTGCGCTCGGTGCTCAACGCCTTCTCCGTGGTGAACCGGAAGAACATGTTTGTGTACCAGGAGCGAGCCACCAAGGCGGTGTACTATCTCCGGTAGGGGGCCCGGGATGGGGAGTCGGGGGTGGGGGATGGGGGGGCACCCATGCTCAGACCCCGACGCTCTCCCCAGGCTCCTGGAGACGTCCTACAGTGAGCGGCCCTGGGACGGCGACGCCCTGCCCCCGTCGCTCGCCCTGTCCCGAAGCCAGGAGCCCATCTACGCGGAGGAGGCCTCGGCACGTCTCCCCACCCGCCCCTCCCGCCCCTGGCCGCCCCCCTGCCCCACAGCCGGCCCTGACCTGCCCTCCCCGCAGGGCCCCCCTCGCTCCCCGCTGGACATGGCCGCCGGCCGCAACGCGGACACTGCGCGTCCCGTGGGCCAGGTGGACAGACACATCCAACTGCTGGTGCACGGTGTGGGTCAGGCAGGTAGGGAGCGCACGGATGGGGACGGGGGCCCAGAGGAGGTTCTGGAATCCTCCAGCATGTTCCCCATGGAGCCTTCCTCTGACATCAGCCTGTGCTGTGCTCCTGCTTCCGTCCAGCGCAGCGGAGTGGGGAAGGGCAGGCTCCTGGGACGCTTGGGGCTTCGGAGCTGAGGCTGCCTGGGACACGGAGGGGCCACGAGGAGTGACCCCTGGGTATATGGGGTCCGTAGCCCGGTGGCAGGGGCTGGTTAGGGGCGAGGGGGAGGGGTTCTGTTAGAGGTGTTGACCTGAGGTGTCCCGCCAACATTCACAGCTCACTCCGTGAGTTCTGGGCCCATGGAGCTGCTACTGCTGCTATTCCCATTTTGTGGATGGAGACACTGAGGGCCCAGGGCAAGGCCCACCGGTCCCCCCTCACAGTGAATGGCGTGCTGGCTAACTCTAGGACACGGGGCGCCGTGTGCGTCTGAGGGTGACAGGGGCGGGGGGGTGGGGGCGGCCTCATCCTCCTTCCCTCCCTTGGCCGCGGCAAGGTCCGGAGATCACGGATGAGCTGGTGCGGGTTCTGCGCCGACGCCTGGACGAGGCCACGCTGGACGTCATCACCGTCATGCTGGTCCGGAACTGCAAGCTGACGCCCGCCGACGTGGAGGTCAGCTCGCTCCCCGGGCCCAGCCCTCCTCCGGCCCGTGGGGAAAAGCCGCTCTGGCCCTGACTCCCCTCCCCGACCCCCAGTTCATCCAGCCCCCCGGAAGCCTCCCCTCCGAGGTGCTGCACCTGGCCCTGCCCACCTCCTGCCGGCCCTGGCTCCCGGCCCTGGCCTGGTACCTGAGGCAGAACCTGCTCATCTTCCTGCACTCCCCCAAGTACACCGACAGCAACAGCCGGAACCACTTCCAGGTGCGAGTCCACCCCCCCACACACAGCCGGCTCCCCTGGACTGTGAACGCTTTCACCTGCCGCCCCAAATCTGGGTCTGCCTCTGGACCTGTCCCCTGCCCGCACCTGTACTCGGTCCCTGTGTCTTCCGGTGTTCTGGGCTACCTGCCCCCCCACACACACACATACCAGAACACCACGCCGCCCCTGGTGTGCATGTGTAAGTGCCCTGTGGTCCTTCTCTCCCCAGCATCCTCTCCCACCGCCGGGTGGCCTTCCCGACCTGGACATCTACTTATATAACAAGCCCGGGGGACAGGGCACTGGGGGCAAAGGTACGGTGTCTCGGGGGTGGCGGGCCTGAGAAGAAGAGGGCCAGGGGGCAGGAGGTGGCAGCCCGGGCTGAGCCTTCCCGCGGATGTCCGCCCAGGGGTCGCCTGCATCACGCTCGCCTTTGTGGACGAGAGAGGAGCCCCCATCTCCCTGGCTCCGTGGACACCCCCTCCTCTGGGGTCCCTGGACCCTCTGCAGGAGGAGGACTTTGAGCAGCTGACCCAGGTCACTCGCTGCCCACTCGGGGCAGACAGTCCTCCAGGTGGGTCGGAGGGTGGGGCTGCCCCGCCAGCGCCCTGGGGGTGAGGGGCATCTTCAGGTGACACCCCCACCCCCACCCCCACCCCCGCTTCCTCTAGCCCAGAGCGGGGCCCCGCGGCTCCGCCTGGACGTGTGGGAGAAGGGCAACATCAGCATCGTGCAGCTGGAGGAGAAGCTGCGGGGGGCGGCCCGCCAGGCGCTGGCCGACGCCGTCCTGGAGCTGCAGCTGCTCCCCGCCCCGCTCTGCTCAGAGGACACCCCCCCGGGTAAGGGCCGGGCCACGCCGTGGACACCGGGGGAGGACGGCCCCCGCGGGCAGCCCTGCCCTTTCCACGTGGGCCTGGCTCGTGTGGCACAGGGATGGGTATTCGGGACGGGGCACTGCAGTGTCCACCACCGTCCACAGGAAGTCTCCGGAGCGGGTCCCTGGAAGCCAAGAGCCCCGCCTGCCGGGCGAGCACCTTCCCCCCCGGACCCGGCCCTGGCCCCGGCGAGCCTGTGACTCCCCCCAGCAAAGCTGGTCGCCGGAGCTTCTGGGACATGCTGGTAACGGAGCAGGGGCGGCGGCGGTCAGCTTGGCCTCTGCCTCCTCGTGGCCCCCTCAAACCCTGCCCAGGTTTCTTCTCTGCAGCGGGGCGGCTGGGAGGCCACGCCTGGCAGTGCTCGGGGCTCAGGGTCTCCTCCTGGTCGAATGCGCGGGGACCACTCCCAGCAACAGGCAGGGGGTTCTTGGGCCCCCACACGTGAAGCTTGCGCTCTGGCCCTTTGAGACTGCTCCCCAGCACCCCGCCCGCCAACCTCCTTTCTCGTGAAAATGCCCCGTCCCTGGCCCAGAGTCCACGGGCCACAGCAGTTCTGGCCGGGGAGAGGCCCTTTCTGCCGGGTCAGTGCCGCTCATTCATTTCTTCTCATCAGAGACTGGGCTTGGACCAGTGAGGAAACAGGCCCCTCCAGGGCTCCCCGGTCAGCCTCGGGGGAAGCCGGGCCTGGCCTGGCTCTTCTGCCTCCTCTGGCTTAATTCTCACTGCACAGTGCCCCTCCATGCCTGACTCCCCCCCCCCCCCGCCTTCTTCCCGTATCCCCTCCTCACTCGCCGCCTTGCCCTCCAGAGCAAAACAGAGTGTGGGGACTTGGGCTCCCCCAAAACAACGGATGACATTGTCCTGGATCGGCCCGAAGACACCCGGGGCCGGAGGCGCCACAAAACGGAAAATGTTCGGACGCCCGGTGGAACCGAGCGGGCCCCCGGCCCGGATGCCGGGGCCCAGAGGCCAAAGTGAGCCTGAATTGTGTCTCGTCGGGAGGGTGTGGCGTGGCCTCACCAGGGGGTCCTGGGCGGCTGCGGCCAAGTGTCCTGGGCGTTACAGATGGTCTTGCTCCTTCTGTCTCTCAGACGCCGAACTACGCAGCTCGAGGAGGGCGAGGCGGGGACCCTGCAGCCCGTGTTCGCTCACGTCGCTCAGCGCTGGATGGAGTTCATGGTCCAGATCGGTGAGCGCCCGCCCCGCTCTCCCGGCCCTGCCCCTGTGCCCGCGGGCGGCCCGCAGCCCGCCCCACCGGGTGCCTCTGCCCCGCTTCCAGGCTGTGCCTCCGTGTCCAAGAGCTCCACCCACATGGTGTCGCGCTTCCTCCTGCCGTCCATCCTGGCCGAGTTCACCGCCCTGGTCACCTCCATGGCCGGGGACACCAGTGTCCGTGTCTTCGAGCAGCACCTGTGAGTTCCACGCCGCAGGGAGGCCACGGCGGAGAGGCAGGGCCGGGCGTGACGGGTGGAGACCAGGAGCTGCCAGGCGTGGTCTGCAGTGTGCCCTCCCTCCCCTAGGGGTCCAGAGCCCGCGGTCTTCAGCCCCTGTTCCCTGGGACAGCTGGGCCCCACTCCCCACCCGGCTGCCCAGCGGCACCTGCTGCTCCTGGGGAGGAACTTCCTGCAGTGGAGGCGACCGACCCAGCAGGGTGAGGGCCTGGGTTGGGGGGTGCGGGGCGCAGGGGAGGGGCCTCTGTCCCCTCAGGGCCTCCCTCCCGGCCCCTCACTCTGCTGCGCTCCTCCCCACTGCCCTGCAGCTGCCAAAACCATGCAGCGCTTCGAGCCTGGCAGCGACGGCAACTCGGGGCGAAATGCTCCCCGACAGAGGTTCTTGCTGCTGGAGGTGGTGGACAAGAAGGTAGACAGGGGACCGGGACCGCCAGGAGCTGGTGGTGGGCGGCAGGGGTGGGGGGGGGAGCCGCTGGACCCCGCTGACCCCGAGCCTGACTCCCAGCTGCAGCTGCTGACTTACAACTGGGCTCCCGACCTGGGTGCGGCGCTGGGCCGCGCGCTGGGCCGCCTGGTGCAGTGGCAGAACGCTCGCGCCCACCTCATCTTCTGCCTGCTCAGCCAGAAGCTCGGCCTCTTCCACCACTACGGGCAGCTGGACTTCCCCGTGCGGGATGAGAAGGTGCCGCTGCCCTGCCCTCTCGTGCGGGGGTCCGGGGGCTCGGCGGTACCGGCTCGGACGCGAGGGTGGGGACCGGCAGGGAGCAGAGCCCGTGCCCAGGGAGTCGGGGGTGGGGGGACTCCGGGGGTAGGGCCCATGCGCTCACTGAGAGGCTCCGTCTCCCTCAGGACCCGAACCCCTTCCTCCTGCCCAGCATGGAAGCCGAGACCCTCATCCGGAGCGCCAGCCCCCCGCTGAGCCGTGAGCAGGGCCGGCTGGGGGGGTCCTCTCGGGGTGGGGGCTCCCTCGCCCTGGACACGTTCCCCTTCGACGAGACCCTGAGGGACATCACCGCTGCTCGCCCCAGCTCCTCACTGGGCCCCGCGCCCCGGCCCCCCGACCCCGTCACCTACCATGGACAGCAGTTCCTGGAGATTAAGATGGCTGAGCGCAGAGGTGAGGACACTGGGCGGGGGGCAGGGGGGCCGGGGCGCCCCTGCGGTGTCTGTGGCGTGGGGCTGTCACTGTCCCCTCCGTCCCCAGAGCTGGAACGGCAGATGAAGATGGAGAACCTGTTCGTGACCTGGCAGCAGCGCTCAGCCCCGGCCAGCATGCCCATCAGCGTGAGTGCCTGCCCCCCACCCCCTTGGCCCGCAGCCTGGCCTGGCCCCCCATCCAGTGCTGGCTCTCACTGCCCCTCCCCTGCCAGGCCAGCGAGCTGGAGACCCTGAAGCAGTCCTCACGCCTGGTGCATTACTGTGCCACGGCCCTGCTCTTCCACCCGGCCGCCTGGCTGCACGGCCCACCCGAGCCCTCGGCGCCCCCCGAGGGCCAGGTAAGGCTGTCGCTCCCCGGTTCCGCCCTCTGCCCCCCACCCCCCCGAGGCTGACAGCCTCCAGTGCCTAGAGCCTTCTCATCCCCCTCTCCACAGCGGCGGCGCCCCGAGTCAGGCTCTGGCAACCGAGAAGCCCCCGGCGGCTCTGAGCCCTCCGATGCCACCCCACCCGGCCCGCGTGAGGAGCCGTGGCTGAAGGACCTGAGCCTGGCTTTCCTGCAGCAGTACGTGCAGTACCTGCAGAGCGTGGGCTTCGTGCTGGTGCCGCTGCGACCCCCCCTCACCCGCCCGCAGGTACGGCCCTCCCCTCGGGAGACCTCAGCACACACGCGGGCGCGTGCCATCACTCCACATGTGGCCTGGAACTCTCCACCGCGTCAGGACATGCAACCGTGCACCGACTCACCTAACTCAGCCAGTGCTTCCGACTCTCTCTCTCTCTCTCTCTCTCTCTCTCTCTCTCTCTCTCACACACACACACACACACACACACACACACCCTGCCATCAGGATACACAACCAGGTACCGACTCACTGAACTCAGCCAGTGCTTCCGACTCTCTCTCTCTCTCTCTCTCTCTCTCTGTCTCTCTCTCTCTCTCACACACACACACACACACACACACACACACACACACACCCTGCCATCAGGACACACAACCAGGTACCGACTCACTGAACTCAGCCAGTGCTTCCATCACACACACACACACACACACACACACACACACACACACACACACACACCCTGGATGTGGACTGGGGACAGCTGCAGGTTCCGCATCAGAATGATTATCCTGGTGAATCTTCACCTCTCCTGAACTTTTACATCGTTACCAGCCCAGGAGCGACTTCTCCTCACGAAGCCAGTTGTCTGTCTGCCTAGGGGCTTCTGCTTGGGTCCCCTGGCCTCAGTGTCCCTGGCCTATTCTGCCCTTCCAATATCCTCAGAACCCAGAAACAGCTCCAGAGTTGGAAAGCCACCTTTCCCATTCCGTGTCACCCCTCAAGCCCCCTTTGCTCTCAAATCGCCCTGCTCTCAGCATCTTGGACCCCAGTCCCTTCCCAGGGCTGTCTGGGGAAGTGTCTGTTCACAAGACAGGTTGCACTGAGTCTCCACATCTGTGAGTTCAGCTTGGCGTTTTTTTCTTTCTGTGTTTTTTTTTTCCCCTCTTTTGGGTCACACCTGGCGATGCACAGGTGTTCCTCCTGGTGGTACTCAGTGGACCATATAAGATGCTGGGAATCGAACCCGGGTCGGCCGAGTGCAAGGCAAACGCCCTCCCCACTGTGCTGTCTCTCTAGTCCCTTCTTTCTGTTTTTAAACTAGTGAGCAGAGCCTTGTCAGAGCAGTTAGCGAAAGCTGCTTTTTGCTTTTTCCATGTGTTTTGTATTTTTGGCCACACCCTGCTATGCTCAAGACTTACTCCTGGCTTTGTACTCAAGAACTACTCCTGGCAGTACACTGTGGACCATATGTGGTGCCAGATATCAAGACAGAATTGGCTGCATTTGGGCCAGAGTGATAGCACGGTGTTTGCTTTGCATGTGGCCAACCTGGGTTCAACCCCCGCCATCCCATATAGTCCCCTGAGCATCACCATGTGTGACTCCAGAAGCTAAAAAAATGTGAAAGGTCAGCTGCATTCAAGGCCAGCCCCTTAATTCCTGTGTGGTGTCTCCAGCTCCAGAAATTTCTTTCTTTTTTTTTTTTTTTTTTGCAGTGGCATCTCCCAGACAGTGTTCAGGAGACCAGAAAGTCCCCTCCAGACGTTCCCTAGCTAGCCAGACCAGTGGTTCAATGCCAGGGCCTGAGGATGTGCCAGGGACCTCCAGGACTGTCCCCAGCAATTCTCAGGGACCTTGTGGTGCTGGGTGTTAGACTAGAGTCAGCCACATGCAAGGCCAGTGCCTTAAGCCCTGCATTATCTCTCAGCCTGTGAGTTCCTTTTTTCAAAATGCAGAACAACTGGGTTAAAAACGAAATACATTTCTAGGACAGAATCTCAAGTTAGGCCTTCTCACCAGTCTGTAACCATCACCAGTGAAGTCTTGTCACAATTTCCTGGAGGATTAAATGGGACGTTTCTTCCCCTCAGAGACACACACACACACACACACACACACACACACAGAGTTAAGTGGTGCGATACTTCTTACACGATTAAATGGTGGGACACCACACACGCGCGCGCGCACACCCACTCAGACCCCTCTGCAGAGTTCCATTGCTCTGTGTGAGCCCACTGCCCTTCTTTTTTGTCCTTCGTGGTCCCTCCTTGAACCCCAGCAGGCCTCTGGAATGTTGAAACTGCTGTTCCCCCCCCTCAGAAGAGAGCCCCTTTCCGCTTGAGGGAAGCGTCTAGGCAGGCATCGGCCTTCTTTTTGGGCTTTCCTCATAGAGGTCTTAGACGTTCCTGTTTCCGGTGTGTCCCAGACGCAGAGCAGCCTCTCCCGCCTTCATTCCCCACCCCACCCCCACCCCCACCCCAGCTTCCCACTGCGCCCACCCGGCTTGCACGACCCTGAAGGCAGCGGCTGCTGTACGTGATCAGCCTGGATTCCACTCGCTGCCTCGCCACTTGGTGCCCGCGGTGCCCGGTGCAGGCTCTCTCCTCGAGGTCTGTGTGCTCTGCTGCTGAGCAGAGCAGGTGCCGTGCACGGACCTATCAAGGGTGCCCACCGCATCCTCTTCCTTCTCTGTCTCTGTAGCACCAGCCGGCTGCGGGCCATGGCCATCCTCGGAACAGAGGGTCGCGGCTCCTTCTCCTGCCCCAAAACCAAGACTGACGGGAGCCCCAAGGTAGTGTGCCACAGACCTTCTCCACAGTGAAATTGGTGATGTCGCTGCTGCCCGGGTCCTGGATTCCTCCCCCAGGCCCGAGAGCGTGACCTGCATCCCACCCCCTGCAGCCAGGAACCTGGGGGGCCTTCCTCCTGGCTGGCACCCCCCAGCCTCCCCGTTGAGCCCGTCTCTCCTTTCTTCAGAGCACTGGCTCTCCGGTCACCACCTACCACCTGCAGCGGGCACTGCCCGGGGGCATCATCCTCATAGAGCTGACCTTCCAGGTGAGCGGGAGGGGCACTGTGGGGGGGGGGGGGCACCCTGCCTCTCGCCTGCCCGCCTGACCGCATCTTTGCCCTCTCCCCAGGGCTGTTACTTCTGTGTCAAACAGTTTGCCTTGGAGTGTTCCCGGATCCCCATGGGACAAGCTGTCAACTCTCAGGTAGGTGGTAGAGATGGGGGACCCTGGAGGTCTCGGGCATTGTCCTCACACCCCTGGTGTGCTCGGCCCATAGGAGTGATGCCTGAATAGGGCCCAGTGATGATCCCTTACAGGGGACCAGCAAGCTCAGAGGCCACTGCAGTACCAGCCGGCCTCCTGCAGGCTCAGAGCTTGGAGGGCACCAGGCTGTCCCTCACAGTGGCCACACCCAGTGGTCACCCCCTAGTCGGTTAGGCAGAGAACAGTCTAGCATGACTTTGCGCTGGCCACCTGACCCAACCGAGAGCTGGTCCTAGTGAGACGGTGCCCGTCCAGATACCGGCACTTGGGCCGAGGGTCTCAGGAGCACTCAGAGTGAGTGGGAGGGACGGGTGGAGCCCCAAGAGGTTCTCTGTCGGGTAGCCGCGCCTGTCACATGTAGGTTCTGGGAGACCAAACTCGGACAGGACCCAGCGTCCCCTCCCAGCAGAGACAGACCCTTCTCAGAGCCACGTAGCGTCCACCCCTGGGTGATCGCCTTTGACTTGGTGTGAAAACCAAGTTACAGGGTAGTGGAGCTGGTAGGAAGGGGGAGTGTGTGCAGGGGCCGGCCAGTGCCAGAGCCTCCACGGGGAGCGTGGACGGCAGGTGGTGAAGCAGCCCCCCGCCCCCACCCCGGCCGTTCCAGCTGCTGGAGTCCCTCTGGCTTCCAGCCTGACCCTCTTTCCCTCTTATCTAATCTCTGCTTCTACTTAGATTTCTAAATTGCTTCATTGTTGCAATTGCGTGTTAGGCTTCAAGTACCTCCACTAAGTACAAAGGAGAGCTCCTTCTGCAGTCCAAACGAGAAATCGGTTCCTGGAGATGAAGTGGCCCCTGGGCACATAGTCGGTAGCACTCCAAGGTGGAAATCCGGGTTTCCGGGGGCTCATCCTTGGTCCTTTCGGGCTAGCATGCTGCCTCTGGCCTTATGAAGACCCTGATGATTCTGGTTCGGTGTTTTGGTTTGTTTGGGGGCCACACCCAATGATAAGCAGGGGTTTCTTCTGGTTCTGCTCTCGGGACTCACCCTGGAGGTGCTCGGGGGACCATATGGGATGCTGGGAATGGAACCCAGGTTGGCCATATGCAGGGCAGACACCCTTCCTGCTGTACTGTCACTCCGGCCCCAGACCTTTATGACTCTGAAACAGAGAAGTGGTCATTTGTCTGGGACACACAGCTCCTCTGCCCCCTGGGCTGGTGCTGCTTCGTCCGCCATTCTTTCCTCCCTGGGAACTCTGTCCAGTGCCACATCCCCGCACCCCACACCAGCTGTTCCCCCTCGCTCCAGGCAATGCCGTGTCCACCGAGAGGAGTGCCGGCTCCATGCCCTGGCCTCCTTTCTCCCTCCATCCCGGCTTTGTCCACTCAGTCACGGCCCAAGTAGAGGAGGCCCGCCCCGGCCTAGCCTTGGCAGGATTCCCAGGCGGAGCTTTATGAGTGAGTCGGCATTTGCTGGCTTTGGGGATCAGGGAGAGCGCTCCAGGCAAACAGTACCAGGGTGCGGAGGGAGGACAGTGTCGTGTTCTCGAGCAGAACAGGTAGTGCGCTGGGAAGAGGGGGCTGGGGAGCCAGGAAGGGGCCAGGCACATGACTCACGGTGACGCCACACGCCGTCCTCTGACGTGCTGTGGACCCCTCTCTCGCTGCCCCATTTCCTGGTTCGATTCCCAGCATCCCAGAGGGTCCCCCCGAGCACCGCCAGGAGTAATTCCTCCTGAGCGCATGAGCCAGGAGTAACCCCTGTGCGTCGCCGGGTGTGACCCAAAAAGCAAAAAAAAAAAGAGGCAGAGGTGAGGTGCCGGGCAGTGCCGCCCCTCACCGTCCTGTGCGCCCGCCCCGCAGCTGTCCATGCTGTTCACGGAGGAGTGCGACAAGGTGCGGGACCTGATGCACGTGCACTCGTTCAGCTACGACTTCCACCTGCGCCTCGTGCACCAGCACGTGCTGGGCACCCACCCAGCCCTGCGCCACGGGTACCACCTCACCACCTTCCTGCACCACTTCCTGGCCCACCACCCCGACGGGCCCCACTTTGGCCGCAATCACATTTACCAAGGTGGGTGCCAAGGGCGAGCCAGAGAACAGGCCAGAGCCCAGCGGGCACCCGACCGTGGGCGCGGCCAGCCGCCACGTCGCACTCAGACACCGTCTTCCGGTCTTCAGGCTGTCTGTGTCGGAACTGTGGGTCTCGGCCCGCGCCCTGTGTTTGTCCTGGGCCCCTCCGTCCCCACCCCTTGTCCTACAGCGACTCCCCTGAGCCTGTCCTCGAGAGCCCTGAGGAGGCCACCCCCCTGGCCCCTCCAGATCACAGTCTGCTCCAGGCTCTCATCACTTGCCCGCAGGGACCCTGGAGCTCCCCACGCCCCTCATCGCTGCCCACCAGCTGTACAACTACGTGGCCGACCATGCCAGCTCCTACCACATGAAGCCGCTGCGCATGGCCCGGCCCGGGGGCCCAGAGCAGAATGAGTATGCCCTGGTGTCAGCGTGGCACAGGTACAGTGGGCACGGGCGCGGGCACACCTGCAGGAGACCACCCTTGGTGGGTAGAAGGGGCCAGGGCCGGCTGCTCTGGCACCTCAGGGTTGACCTCCCCCTGCCCAGCTCTGGTTCCTACCTGGACTCGGAGGGACTTCGCCACCAGGACGACTTCGACGTCTCTCTGCTCGTCTGTCACTCGGCTGCGCCCTTCGAGGAGCAAGGAGAGGCCGAGCGGCATGTCCTACGGTCAGCGGGTCCCCCGCCCTGGCCGCGTCTGTCCTCCACCTCTCTCCGCCCCAGCCTGGGGAGGGTCCCGCTGTGGCCACCACCGCACCCGTCTCCCTCCCTGCAGGCTGCAGTTCTTCGTGGTGCTCACCAGCCAGCGTGAGCTCTTCCCCAGACTCACAGCAGACATCCGCCGCTTCCGGAAGCCCCCCAGGCTACCTCCGGAACCAGAGGCGACTGGGACCTCTGCCGGGAGCCCTGGGGAGGCCCCGGGCGTTGGTCTGGGCCCCGGACCGGCTCCCATGTTCCCCCCTCTGGCTGCAGAGGTGGGCGTCGCACGGGCGAGGCTGGCCCAGCTGGTGCGGCTGGCTGGGGGGCACTGCCGACGGGACACCCTCTGGAAGCGCCTCTTCCTGCTCGAGCCACCGGGGCCTGATCGGCTGCGGCTCGGGGGGCGCCTGGCCCTGGCCGAGCTGGAGGAGCTCCTAGAAGCGGTTCATGCCAAATCCATCGGGGACATTGACCCCCAGCTGGTGAGAGGCTGGGGTGGGTGCAGGGAGTCCCCTGGGTGACCCAGGCAGAGTGTGCGGGGTCTCCGGGGGCTTGGACTGCATGTCAGGGCCTGTGGCCCCTCCCCCAGGACTGCTTCCTGTCCATGACGGTCTCCTGGTACCAGAGTCTCATCAAGGTTCTCCTAAGCCGCTTTCCCCAGAGCTGTCGCCATTTCCAGAGCCCAGACCTGAGCACTCAGTACCTGGTAAGTGCTTCTGGACCCTTCTGTGAGAGGGGAGACAGCAGAACCCTCCTCAGACATGGCAGGTTGTCCCCAAGCCAGGCCAGGGAGGCTGCCCACAGGTGCACGAACATGTCTTGGCCAGAGCCTAGAGGCCGACTGAGGACTTAGCACAGACACGCTGACAGAGCCCCTGCGGGCTCCAGGCTGGAGGTCTTACAAGCCTGTCACCCCAAACCCATAGGGGCACCCGGGAGACCCGCCCAGCCCTACTGACTGTAGTGGTAGAGTGCGGTGCTGGAAAGGGGGGTACAGACCCCACTGATATCGGGTGCATAAGTGAGGGAACCACGAGGCGATGGAGTAGGCCCAGTCTAGGCTGCCAGAGAAGACTCAAGACGGAGGGAGTTGGACCATGACGGGCTCGTGCAGCTGCTGGTGGGAAGAGCAGGGTCGGGGGTGAAGGGTCATCTGGAGCAGCCCAGACACATAGAACTAGGAGGACACAACTGGGAGCTGGGGTGGTGGCGGGCATGGATCCAGGCGAGGTGATGAGACTGAGGACCCCAGGACCCCGGGCAGTCTGGGAAGTCTGTGTCCATGGGGGATTGGAGCTCAGGGCAGAGATGGAGGTCCCAGGGACTGGACTGATAGCACAGCGGGTAGGGCGTTTGCCTTGCACGCAGCCCGACCCGGATTTGATTCCCAGCATCCCATATGGTCCCCTGAGCATGGCCAGGAGTAATTCCTGAGTGCATGAACCAGGAGTAACCCCTGTGCATCACTGGGTGTGACCCAAAAAAGCAAAAACAACCACCACCAAAACAAACAAACAAACAAACAAAAAAACAGAGATGGAGGTCCCAGAAGTAGAAGAAATGGCCGAGGCCCAGCTGGGCGTTAGGGGCAGGCCTCAGAGACAGTGCCAGGGGAATCGCGCAAGAGAAGCCCCAAGGCAGGATGCCAGGAGAGTCATGTCCCTAGATTTAGAACTCGGCACAGCCAGCCCAGTGCAGGGCCTGCCCATAGAAGACGCTGGAACCTGGCCGACAAGCACCCCTCACCCTGCGAGGCTCAGTGGGAGACAGGTGTGGGAGGGAGGCACCATCCAGGCTCCCCCATGGCCGAGCCGGCCTCACTGCCCGCCCGGCTGCTTGTCTGCCACAGGTTGTGCTGAATCAGAAGTTCACTGACTGCTTCGTGCTCGTCTTTCTGGACTCCCACTTGGGGAAGATGGTGAGAACAGGGTCCACCTGGTAGTGGTGGGGGGGGGGGCGATACCCCTGTGCTACACCTTCAATCAAACCTTCTGAGGTCGGGGTTTGCAGTCTTCTCGGGGCAGCCTGGCCCCCGTGAGCACCCCCGTCGCCTCAGCACGGCACCCCGTGTTCCTCACAGTCGCTGACGGTGGTTTTCCGAGAGCCCTTCCCAGTCCAGCCCCAGGACAGTGAGAGCCCCCCAGCCCAGCTGGTCTCCACCTACCACCACCTGGAGTCCGTCATCAACACAGCCTGCTTCACCCTCTGGACCCGCCTCCTCTGAGTTCCTCCACTCCCGGACTGACCACGCCGCCCACTTCAAGCGGCCACGGCAGAGCAGGCCCGACACTTGGGACACTGAGAGCTCAGTGACATCTCTCGGCCTGGCAGCCGGGGGCTGCCCTCCCCAAACTCACAGCCCAGCACGCTGGAGGGTCAGATCAGTTCTTCTCAGCCACCCGACCCTTCCAGAAAGACATGCCCTCTGCCACACCAGGTGGAGCCCGGGAAGGCCACAACGTGGGCACTCGCTCCTTGGAGGGCCCTGCCCCACCTCGTTTCCCTCCAGTCTCCGTCTCCCACTTGGACTGGCCAGCTGGACGTCGCCGTGGACACGACCGTGCCTCTGAGCACCTGGGAGTACAGGCGCGTCCCCTGCTGGGCCCCTGGGTCTCAGCTGGAAATGAGGCGGTGGGCTCCGAGCTCTCCCCTTTCCACGGCAGACCCAAGGACTTGAGGGGCCCTGATCCCTTCTCCACAGGAGGGAAGTGGCCCCCAGGAGCCACAGGAACTGAAGGATTAGACACTGTGTGTCCCATTCCCCACCCCAATAACAGACACGTGCAAAGGTCCGGCCGCTTGTCTTTATTTCGGGGACTCCGGCTGCCCAGCTCACTGCCCAGGCCTGGGGTAGCCCCGCTTCTCCCAGTAGGATCGGAGCCAGCTCAGGCCCTCTGCTGTGTCTCCTGAGGAGAGAGGGGAGGCCTTGTCCGGCACCTACCCCTCCAGGGCTCCCTCCCCAGCCCGCGCCTCGGCCAGCCCCTCACCTTGAGGCCGGTACTCGCAGCCCACAAAGCCGCTGTAGCCCTCATCCTCCAGGAGTTGGAACAGGTAGGGGTAGCTCAGCTCCCCAGGGCTGTCAGGCTCCCCCCGGCCCGGCACCTGTGCCACCTGCACATGCCCTGGCGAGCGACAGATGTGGGCAGAAGTGGGCCCAGGCTCAGATCCGGGGGTAGGGCAGGGGAATGAGGGGGGAAGCAGAGCAGGGACGCAAAGGAAGGGACTCCTACCCACGATGGGCAGGAACGCCCGGATGTTCTCCGTCAGGTTCCCATCCATGATCTGCCAGTGGAATAGGTCCTGGCACGGAGAATCCCGGTCAGGGACGCTCCGGGCCCCCCACTCTTCCCAGACCCGGGGGTGCTTTCCTCCCTCCCACTCACCATTTGTAACTGGAGGTTGGGTCTTCCGACCTTCTGTAAAATGGCAGCCGCTGGCAGAGAAACCGGGATGGGCCGTGAGACCCAGGGACCACACAAGAACCAAAGGGCAGGAGGGACCACAGGGGCGGGGAGGGGAGGGGGGTGTCCTACCCTGCTGGGGCGTATCCAGGAAATATCGGGGGTCTGTGACACGGGTGTTGATGGGCTCCAGCAGTCCCACGAGGTTCTCCTAGTGCCCCATCGGATCCGTGACCAGAGGGTTCCCCACATCTCTGTCTCCCATCAGGCCGGGACCAGTCCCACTGAGCCCGGCAGGCTCCAAGCCTGCACCTCCGTTTCATCTCAGTTTCGACCACACGTGCACGTCCTCAGCACACATTCATGTGTTCCTTCTTGCGGTCTCACCTGAGCCAGAACCCCAGCGGCGTGCTTCAGGTTCTCCAGGAACACCGCCTCCATCTCACCCCTGACAGCCGCTGCATCAGCCCCCTGGGGCACTCGGCCGGCCATCAGGTGAATCCTGGTGGGGGAAGAGGCGCCAGGGGGCGCTGTGCAGCCCGTGGGTGCTGAGGGGACCCTCAGTCCCCGTGCGCATCTCTCCCAGCTGCCCCCTCTCCCTTCTGCACCACCTGGCCAGTTCTCAGGTCTCCTCAGGCCTCTCCCCGCACCCCCACATCTTTGGGGGGGTCATCTTCCTGTCTCCACACTTAGCCTCTGGCACCTTGTCCTTTTGTTCGAGAGCCACACCCAAGGATGCTCGGGGGCTACTCCTGGCTCTGCACTAAGGAATTCAGATGGGGGGGGGGGATGGAACCGTGTGTGCAAGGCCAGCGCCGGACCCCTGTGCCTTTAACCTGCCTCTCCCCTGACCCTTCACAGCCAGTACTGCAGGCACGAAGGCTCAGCTTTTAAAGCCTGGGTTTCCCTGCCTGGGCTCTCCCCCTGGCGGGTTCCCCGGCCGCTGCATGTCCCCAGCGCTCAGCAGTCGCCCGCCGGCCAGTTCCTTCTCTGCCGCCCCGGGCTCTGCCGTTAGCGCCGCCGGGAACCGCCTCCCCTTCCCGGCCACAACCCACCCCAGCGCGCTACATCGCGGGCACCCTCCGGCCCACCCTGAACTCCGCTTGGCACGGGCAAGCGGCCTCTTGCGTGCAGCCAGGCACGAGTGCCCACTCCTCCCGCCCGCCCCTGCCGCCCGAGCCCCCGGGCCCCGCGGACCTCTGGGGGCGAGGGGCTCGGGACCGAGCCAGCAGCACTCGGGGCGCTTTCCCGAGCGCTGAGGCTCGCGGGGACCCGGTACCTGGGGCAGCCCAGCGCCTTGGCGTACAGCACGGCCTGCTCCAGGCCCTCTCGGAAGGCCGCCTGCCGCCCGGGCACGGCGCCCAGCCCCAGCTCCCCTTTCTCTCGGTCTCCTGCGGGGAGAAGGCGCTTCAGGCCCCCGCAGCCCGCGCCCCCCGCGCGGTCCCCCACCCCCACCCGCGGTGCACCCGGGGGCGTGTGGATGGACACCAGCCCTGCGCCCCGCGCCCCCCGCGCGCACTCGGGGCCGTGTGGATGGACACCAGCCGCAGCCCGGTGCCCCGCGCCCCCCGCGCGGACCTGGGGGCGTGTGGATGAGCACCAGCCGCAGCCCCCGACCCCCGCGTCCCCCTCCCGGTCCCCGCGCGCACCCGGGGCCATGTGGATGAGCACCAGCCCTGCGCCCCAAGCCCCCAGCGCGCACCCGGGGCCGTGTGGATGGACACCAGCCGCAGCCCCCGACCCCCGCGTCCCCCTCCGGGTCCCCGCGCGCACCCGGGGCCGTGTGGATGAGCACCAGCCCTGCGCCCCGTGCCCCCCGCGCGCACCCGGGGCCGTGTGGATGGACACCAGCCGCAGCCCCCGACCCCCGCGTCCCCCTCCGGGTCCCCGCGCGCACCCGGGGGCGTGTTGATGAGCACCAGCTGCAGCCCCGCGCCCCGCGCCGCGCGCGCCAGCTCCTCGGGCGGCTCCGCGTAGGGCCAGGCCACCTCGGCCGCCTCGAAGCCCGCGCGGCCCGCGGCCCGGAGGCGCGCCGGGAGCTCGCGGAGCTCGGGGAAGAGCCACGACACGTTGGCCGAGAAGCGCAGCGGGGCCATGGCCAGCGGGGACTCGCGCGGCCGGAAGACGGAAGCCGGCGGGGACGACCGGGGCGGCGGCGTGGCGGGCCGGGAGGGAGTCCGACAGGTCAGCGGGTCGGGCCTTGACGCGCAGCCGACCCGGGTCGATCCCCGGGACGCCACGGGGCCCCCGGAGCCCAGAGCCAAGAGTAAGACCGGGTGTGGCCTGAAGCACAAAAAGAAAGAAATGCATGCATGTTTTTTTAAAAAGAAAAGAGAAAGGAAAGGAGAAAGGAGAAAATGGAAGAAGAAAAAAAGAGAGAAAGAAAGAGAGAGGGAAAGAAGGAAAGAAAGAAGGAAAGGAAGGAAGGAAGGAAGGAAGGAAGGAAGGAAGGAAGGAAGGAAGGGAGGGAAGAAAAGAAAGAAAGAAAGAGAGAGAGAGAAAGAAAGAGAAAGAAAGAAAGAAAGAAAGAAAGAAAGAAAGAAAGAAAGAAAGAAAGAAAGAAAGAGGGGCTGGAGCGATAGCACAGCAGATAGGGCATTTGCCTTGCAGGCAGTCGACCTGGGTTCGATTCCCAGCATCCCATATGGTCCCCTGAGCACCGCCAGGAGTAATTCCTGAGTGCAAGGCCAGGAGTAACCTCTGTGCATCGCTGGGTGTGACCCAAAAAGCAAAAAAAAAAAAAAAAGAAAGAAAAGAAAGAAAGAAAGAGGAAGGAAGGAAGGAAGGAAAGAAGAAAAGAGAAGTGGGAGCTCAGGAAAGGGGAGAGGCCAGGTGGGGTCAGGGGCAAGGGTGGCTCTGGGGCAGGGTGGTGGGCCTAGAGAGCACCAAGAACCAGGAGCCCAGATGGGGAAAGAGCCCAGTTAAAGTGAAGGGCTGGGGTTGGAGCAATAGCACAGCGGATAGGGCATTTGCCTTGCATGGGGCCGACCCAGGTTCGATTCCCAGCATCCCACATGGTCCCCTGAGTACTGCCAGGGGTAATTCCTGAGTGCAGAACCAGAAGTAACTCCTGCACATCGCCAAGTGAGACCCAAAAAGCAAAAAAAAAAAGTGAAGGGCTGTGGACTTTCCCAGAGACTCTTCCCTCCTGAGAATAGCATCTGTTTACTATGCAACCATGTTGTGTGGCCAGATGAAGATTGTGGTAGTGGAGTTCATGCCCGCTCCAGTCAGCTTAATCAGCGGCTGAATAAATAGCAGTACTCCTACATGAAAGAAAGAAGAAAGAAAGAAAGAAAGAAAGAAAGAAAGAAAGAAAGAAAGAAAGAAAGAGAGAGAAAGAAAGAAAGGAAAGAAAGAAAGAAAGAAAGAAAGAAAGAAAGAAAGAAAGGGAAATAAAGAAAATAAAGACCGACAAACCCATTAGGGAGCTAGAGCCCGTTAACTTGCCCTTACTAGTTAGAAATGAAGCATGTCAGGCCTCAGAGACCGCTCAAAGGGGTGCCGCCATTCGTGGATAGTCTCTGGTTTGGGCATTTGCGAAGTCTCCAGCACTCCTGGCTAATGCCTATGAGCAGGTCTGGCCCCCCAGAAAAGGGAAAAAGAGCAAGAAATGTGTAGTTTTTCCTTCGGGGACACTGAGTATACTGTTACTGTGTTTGTATGACCTGCATTTTTTTTGTTGTTTTCTCTTATTTTGCACCTTTTCACTCATCTTCAAAGCCATCCCAGCAGCTGGTCATTGCTCCAGACCTAGACTTTATCATAAAACTTTAGAGTTTCTCAATTTATGTTGTGAAATTACCTTCTGGTGTCTACTGAATTTTTTTTTTCTTTTTGGGTCATACCCAGTGATGCTTGGGGGATTACTTTTGGCTGTGCACTCAGGAATTACTCCCGGCAGTGCTCAGGGATGCTAGGATTGAACCCAGGTCATCCGCATGCAAGGGAAATGCCTTCCCTGCTACACTGCTATCGCTCCGGCCCTTGTCTGTTGAAACTTTTCCTTATGTTCTGATGTCTATATGGTCATTCCCCATTAAGGATTTGCCTATCCAAACTCCTTTCAAAGGAAACCTGCCTCCACCACTGGATGGAATGGAGGTGGGGTGGGATGCTGTCCCCTCAGAGCCTCAGTTGGAGAGTGGTGTGAGGGGGAGGGGTGTCCCTAGTCAACGGCATTCATCCAGGGACCTGCAAAAGATCCATTTCTTGCTCGGTTCAGAAAGATAACAGGCCCGATTCCGTCTCGTTCCAACAAGGAAACACCGCTAGTCAGGAGGCAATCCCCCTGGAGATTGAGGGTGACTGTAGAAACGTGAATAATGGAGAGCCAGAGGGTGATGAAAGTGAGCGCTGAGGGGAATGGAAGGAGTTGGGGTGTCATGTTGGGAAACAGCTGCCATTTGACTTAGGGCTGGACGGGCCCAGAAGCCCGGCATCTGTGCGCTAGCCCCAGGTTGGGGGTGGAAAGGGGTGAGGTTCTAGACTTTTCTGGCCTTCTGAGCCTCTTTCTGGGTTTCTTTGTGTTTTGAAGCAACGCCCAGCTGTGCTCAGGGCTTACTCCTGGCTTCGCACTCAGGGATTACTTACTCCTGGTGGAGCTCCGGTAAGCGTACGGGGCTTCCGGGAGGTGGAATCTGGGCGAACTACGTTCAAGGCAAGTTCTCCCCGCTGTACTGTCTCTCCAGTACCCTCAGCCTCTTACTGATTCTTTTTAGTGCAATTTGCTGGCACTGGGGGCCTCTGCGCCTGCCCTTTGAACTCTCTTCCATCCAGCCTCTGAATGCTTTTTGGGAATCATTCAGACGCATGTATTTCAACCACAACTGGAATAATTGCGCAGATTCATAAGGTTGAAATTACATGGTCAAAAAACTGGGAACATGTTTAAATTCTTCATGGCTATGCTAAATTGCTTCTCAAAACTGTGGTAAGTTTCCGTGTAGACATCATTCTGGCATATTTTCCGTGCTGGCGTGAACAAATGGAAGCTCTGAGTGCAGTCTTTGTTGGGAGAACCCAATTTGTCCTGTTCACAGGCCCACTGAGACTCTGGGGTCCAGCTGGGCTCAAAGGTAACCCCATGCTTGGCAGCTTCCTGCCCTTCGGCTCTGCCTCTGGGAACAGATTGCCACTGGCTACCATCGATCACCTGGTTTCTTGTCCATTTGCAGCTAGCATTAACCTTCGAACTTTGACTTGTCCTGGGACGTGTATCTTGGTCCTAGTCCAATCAGGATGTGATTCTACTGATTTAGTATTTTAATCAATCCTGTGTTGATGCACTATGTCTGCGATCCAATGTTGGCCGTACAGAATACGTCACGCCAACTCATCCCTTTATTAACACGTAAGTAAAACTCTGAGTATGCTAATTCTATTTAAGACTGTAAAAGCAGCACCATCTGCTGGGGTCTCTACCAGAAACACCATTTCTCCAACCTCTAATGGATACTCCCTTCTTGCAGGCATACCCTTTAGGTTAGCAGAGATGATACAGAAACAAGATCCATGATTCACTTTTTCTTTTATTCACTATAACACCTTGGCATTGTCACAGTGAATATTAAAGGAGGGACAGAGAGATATTACAGAGGGTAGGGCACTGCCTTGCATATAGCAGATCCCGATTCAATCCTTGGCACCACATGGTCTCCTGGGCTAGGCCCTAAATACCTTCAGGTGTGATTCCCAAACAAAAAATAGGTACAAAAGATTAAAACCAGTGAAAATTATTTTCTTTGTTCTCTGTCTTGGCATCACACTAAGTTATTACAAATATTGATTCTTTGCATTTATACTTGGAATCGAAATATTTGCACAGCTAATAATTGACTATTTTAATTATGACTTGTAAATAGTCCTATAGATGGTGGCTAAAACTTGAGCATCAAGTTCAGAATCTCATTTGATCCTGGATTGCACTTGCCAATTTGATTTTTTAAAAAACCATGTAAAAAAACAAATCAAAACCTCAATGGAAAAATCCATTTTATACCTTCCTGGTTGGAAAAAATGAAACGCAATGTCTATTTTAATTAATGTATTCAAATTTTTTTAATGCGAGGGTATTTCTCATTTGGTTAGTCCAAGTTTCATCACTGTCCAGTGGGGCCTTTTAACATTAGCATGTGTTCCTACTGCCAAAAATATTTCGAAATGACTCACTCTAATAGAAAAAAAGTGAGTTTTTTCCTCCGAATTTTATATACATGTAGAAAGGTTGGGGAAATTTTTAAGTCAGGTACCGGCAAATTATGGTTAGGAATTGGGGGACCTGGAACGTTGATTCACTGCTGGTAGAAGAGTAACTCACTACAACCATTTTGGTAAACAGTTTAGTATTAGCTGCTAAAGCGGAGCGTTCATCTACCTTTGATCCAGCAGCTCCTTCCCAGGTGCAGCCCCTGGAGAAGCTTTTCAGAAATATGCCGGGAAACAAGTCCAGTGATATTCAGAGCAGCACTGTCTATACTGCAAAAATGTGGAGCTAATCCAAACGTCCATCAACACCTGACGACTGTACTGGGCTCCAGCCAGACAGTGTTGCGTAGAGAAGTGAAGAGAAAGCCGGTGACTCAAATAATAAAATTGAATTTGCTCTTGTGTGAGAGGAATTATATGAAGAACTTAGTGAAGTCTGGGTGAAATTAAGACCATCAGTGTGAACTCACCAAATGGAAAAAAAATCTCAAAACCATAATCTTGAAAGAAGCAAACCACAGAGAAATAACATACAGTATGAGTCCATTTAAACAAAGTAAAAATCGGAAAATCAAACTATAGCTTGTGTAAGAATAAATCTTCAGGATCAGAGTGATAGCACAGTATGCCAGGAGTTTGCCTTGCATGGGGCTTGACTAGGGTTTGACTCCTGGCACCACATATATCCCCACCTACCTACTCAAGGCTAAGAATGACCCCTGAGCACAGAGGCAGGAGTAAGCCCTGAGCACTGCCAGCTGTGCCTCCCCCCCCAAAAGAATAACTCTGCAGTAAAATTATATGAAAGTGAGACTGGGACATGACTCAAAGGGCTGGAACACATGTTTTTTTAAAATTATTTTATTTTATAAATTAATTCACAATATTTGATTACATTTAATATTCAAATACCAATCCCATC